CAATCTGGACGAATGTGGTATAATCGTCTCAGTGAGCATTTAACGAAAGACGGATATGTGAATGATCCTATATGCCCATGTGTTTTCATAAAGAAAACAAATTCTGGATTTGTGATAATCGCGGTATATGTTGATGATCTAAACATAATCGGGACTCGAGCAGAAATACAGAAAGCAACAAACTATTTAAAAAAGGGAATTTGAGATGAAAGATGTCGGACAGACAAAATTTTGTCTTGGCCTACAAATTGAACATACTCAAAAGGGTATATTTGTACATCAATCCACATACACCAAAAGTGTGAAAACGTTTTAATATGGATAAGGAAACTCCTCTCAGTACTCCAATGGTCGTTAGATCACTTAACGTTGAAAGTGATCCTTTCCGACCACCTGAGGAGAATGAAGAGATACTCGGTCCTGAAGTACCGTATCTAATTGCAATTGGAGCCCTTATGTATCTTGCAAATTGCACTCGACCTGATATATTATTTTCAGTTAATCTTTTGGCTAGATTTAGTTCATCCCCTACACGAAGACATTATAATGGGATTAAACATGTCTTTCGTTATCTTCAAGGGACTATTGATCTAGGGTTATTTTATCCTAAAAATATAAATGGTCAAATGATTGGTTTTGCAGATGCAGAATTTTTATCAGATCCACACAAAGCTCGATCACAAACAGGATACGTATTCACGATTGGAGGTACCGCTAGCCCTGAGACGGATCCGGATATCCGGCAAAATTGGGTGTATCCGGATCCGGCGGATCTACAACTTTATTATCCGGATCCGGAAGACCCGGATATCCGGATCCGGAAGACCCGGATATCCGGATTTCGGATACCCGTGAAAAAACCCAGATATTCGCGGATATCCGGATCCGATCTAAATAAACACATTTTTCTCTTGATCTTTTCTTTTAGCACCCGATCCGATTAACGCACCCAAACCAAATCACATGAGAGTTGAAATCCTATACAGATAATAAAGCTTTGAATCATTGAAACTAAAAAGAACAATTCAGAATATGTTGCTTCTTCATCGTTGGATTCATGAGAAACTCCAAATCCGCCGGAAATTCTAAATCCGCCGGAAATTCCAAATCCACACGAGAAGAAACGATAAAATTAGAGAGCCGACGACAAAGACAAATAATTTCTGGATTTGGGGATCAAAATAAATATTGAAAGATGTAAAATTTTGGATCTAGGTTTTGTGGTGAGATGAAGAGACTGTGGAAAAAATAAATGTTGGAGGCAGACAGGTCGTGTACTCGTGTGGGAAGAGAGAGGTGAAGAGATATTTAATACATTATTGGGCTTGGTTTGAAAAACGTTTGGGCTTTACAATAAATTGAGTTTTAAATTTGACTAACAAATGGCCCAACTATAAAATACTTGATGGTACCGGATCCAAATATCCGGTTCCAAATTTTTGTATTATCCGGATCCGGATCCGCCCGGATCCATAAAATCATTATCCGGATCCGGATCCGGATCCGGCTACCCCGGATATCCTATTTTTCGGAGCGGATCCCGGATAATAGGTCTCAGGGCTAGGTACCGCTATATCACGGCGTTCTCAGAAGCAGACGCTTGTGGCTACTTCTTCAAATCATGCTGAAATCATCGCACTCCATGAAGCGAGTAGAGAATGCGTGTGGCTACGATCAATAAGTCGACACATTCAAACAAGTAGTGGAATTCGTCTGAATACGGAACTAACTATCTTATACGAAGACAATGCTGCATGTGTTGCTCAGACAAAAGAATGATATATCAAAAGTGATAGAACCAAACATATCCCTCAAAAATTCTTTTCATACACCCAAGAGCTCGTGAAAAATAAAGACATTGAAGTAAGATATGTCCGATCATCCGAGATTTCTGCGGATCTCTTCACAAAATCATTGTCCACCTCTATGTTCAGGAAACATGTTCATAACATTGGAATGCGTCGTCAACAAGACTTGTAAGTTATGATCCTGATCATTTGAGGGGGAACTTGCGCGGTTGCACTCTTCTTACTTACTATGGTTTTTCCCACCGGGTTTTCCTTGAAAAGTTTTTAACGAGGCAACAGAAGATATTACGCAAGAAACATAGTGACATTGGTCTCCAAGGGGGAGTGTTGTAAAAGTCAACAAAAGAGGCAAACGTAAATGTCAATAATATACGCATACACATGCGTTAAACGTTTCGTTGTTTATTATACTGTGTGGAGCCCACCGTCACTATGCACGCATAGTTATTTACTTTATTACGCCTATATATACGAACGAATTCGTTGTAAAATCACAATTCATACTTCAATAAGTAGAAGTTATAAGAAATCTCTCTCCTTCTCTCGTCTCTTTATTATTCAGTATCCGATCTTTCTGCGGGTATAAATTCTTTCTCCATTATTTATATTTATATATACCATAAAATAAAGTAATTATTTATAACATGTTCTTTATTATGCTAACTTCATTTACTTTATTCCTAAAATTTGTAGCAAGTTGTCATCCTAGTCCATTGGCACTGTAACAAGATTGGAACCACTAATAATTAAATAAGCCTAGATGATGATGTTTTGACTGAATTGTATATCGTTTAGTCATTAGACATTATTAAACATAATAGATTATAACCCTCCCATGTTGTCCCACTCACACTATAATTTTTCTTATACAAATAATTAAGATGGAAGAAATAAGTAGTTTTTTGTTAAAGACTTTAAGGATGTTGACAAAAAAAAGAAGAAGAAGAAGAAGATTTCCAAGAAAGAACTATACAATTTCTCTTCCTCGTGACAAAACCAAAATGTACTTCACACTAAATAAGCAATTTTTTAGGTTTCTTATACTAACTTTATAGCTTTCAGACTAAAACTAGTGTTTCATTGCTGTAGGTCTTGATTGTTTGTGTATGTAAAATTTTAGTTGTAAACACAAATGGTAGCGTATAAAAACTAAAAAAATTATCATAAATATAAAAACTAAAAGAGTTTTGTATTTCATAAATGTGAATTTTGGTGTGTTTAATTTCTTTTAAAATTTTCAATATTAATCGAAAATGCAACCGTAAAACTTGCGATTGAAGCATTAAATTTCAGAAATGCATACCCTAAAGGCCTAAATTCTACTTACAGGATCATCTGGATAATTTGTCTCTATGATCATTTCCTCGCCAAGCATATAGTACCGTAGCAAATATTTATTTTAAAACTATGATTATCATATTTTCATTTGGAAAAGTAAAAAAACGATATATCTATCGTTCTTACATCGGATAAAATATTTGTTGAGCATTTATTTGGTCATATCTAATTATGACATTTTCTTGAACGTTTGTTGTTCCACAGTCCGGCTGCTGCAAACCACCGACCGCATGTGGCTACAACTTTGTGAACCCGACACTGTGGCTAAACCCGACGAATATGGCTGCAGACGCAGACTGTTACTTATGGAGCAATGACCAAAGCCAACTTTGTTACAATTGCAACTCATGCAAAGCTGGTCTATTGGGAAACCTTAGAAAAGAATGGCGTAAAGCAAACCTCATACTTATCATCACAGTCGTTGTTCTCATATGGGTTTATGTTATTGCTTGTAGCGCGTTTAGGAATGCTCAGACTGAGGATCTCTTCCGCAAATACAAACAAGGTTGGGTCTAAAATGTGTTTGTGTATAAATTTGTTTGTAGTTGTTGAGATTGGAGGTTTCGGAAATAGCTTGTGATATTATGATTTCTTTGTATTTGGAAAGAGGGTTTTTCTTTTTATGGATCTTGTTTTTATGTTTTTGTTAGATTTCGTGTTGAAAGAAAGCAAAATTGAACTAATATATTGTTTTGGATATGCGTGTGTAAATGCTGTTTTGGTTTTTATCTTTTCAACTCTTTTTTTGGGGGTTTAGGTGTTGTTTAGAAGTTTAGGCTAGTGGTTACTGGCTGCGGAATATATCGTTCATCACGGATTGGAATGTTGCTGGTACGTTGGTAAGCCAAAATGGCATGACCAGGAACTCATAGTGCCCTTGGTGAGTTCGAAAGGTAGTTTTCTTCACGTTTGTGGCTCGTACACTGCCTCCAGGCTGTAGATCTCCTGAATTGCAAGGCAAATGAATGATTTCTGTTGGTGATTAACATATATGCAAGTATGCCATCGAGGATATACATATATTGTTTTTATGTAAGGTTGAGTTATGATGCTAGAACATTTTCTTTTTTTGACATCAACATTTACTATTGGACCAAAAAAGTGATATTCAAAATATAAAATGTCACAAAATGGCATTAATTTAGTAAGACAAAGAATGTCCCTAATTAAAAAGTGTGTGTTAGTAGAAGAAACTGAGAGAACTCTCCAAAACCCACAAAGAGAGTTCTCTCAGTTTCTTCTACTAAGAAAATCAATAACCGTTGGTTAAAACATAATTATCAACAAAGACTTCTCTTTTGTTTGGGAGCTCTCATCTTACATAATTGAGAGAACTGTATGATAAGAACAAAACATAAGCTAAAGACACAAAGCTCATTTCGTCCCGTGGACTTCTATCTTTGTTTTCTTTTGTCAACAATAGTAATAATCAAACTATGGATCTCAATAATCAAATAAATATTAAATTAACACCACCGGAATTAACATGTTTATTATTCCTCTATCAATATTATATAAACCTAAGCTGTCTTTAGCTATAGTACAATTCATTTCTAACCTTAAAAATAATATTATCCAGAGATTTTTTTGTAGTTTCGTAACGTGGTCGAAACTGCTAGGTAAGTTCCTTGATCCATAAAATAGTGTATTCAAATTCAATTCAAGATGAGCTTTCTTAGACCACGATTTAAACATTATGTTAGGATTTACAAATTTATAAATACACTATTTACAAATTAAACCGAAACCAAACCAAACTAAACCAAAACCAAACCAAACACTTCATTTGCGTAATGTAGTTTCATACGTTGTTGTATCTATAAATAGTTTTGTTTCTCCAGCATCCATTTCATAATCCTCATTTCTCGGATCTCTCCCACCTCAAAAAAACCCGACCCATTAACGCGTCCCAAACCGGGTCAACCCGAAATGGATAAGCCAAGCTTCGTAATCCAACCCAAAGAAGCAGAATCCGCCGCGAAACAACTCGGCGTCTCCGTACTCCAGCTCCTTCCGTCGCTAGTCAAACCAGCCCAATCCTACGCTCGAACTCCGATTTCAAAATTCAACGTCGGAGTCGTCGGACTCGGATCATCAGGTCGGATCTTCTTAGGCGTCAATGTCGAATTCCCAAATCTCCCTCTCCACCACTCAATCCACGCCGAACAATTCCTCGTCACCAATCTCACACTCAACGGTGAACGTCATCTCAAATTCTTCGCCGTATCCGCCGCACCGTGTGGTCATTGCCGTCAATTCCTCCAAGAAATCCGCGACGCACCTGAAATCAAAATCCTAATCACCGATCCAAAAAACTCCGCCGATTCCGATTCCGCCGCCGATTCAGACGGATTCTTACGTCTAGGAAGCTTCTTGCCACACAGATTCGGTCCCGACGATCTTCTCGAGAAAGATCTTCCTCTTCTTCTCGAACCTCACGATAACCATCTCAAAATCTCAGATCTCGATTCGATTTGTAACGGAATCACTGATTCATCCGCCGATTTGAAACAAACGGCTTTAGCGGCGGCGAATAGATCGTACGCGCCGTATAGTTTATGTCCGTCGGGAGTTTCGTTGGTGGATTGTGACGGGAAAGTGTACAGAGGTTGGTACATGGAATCGGCGGCGTACAATCCTAGTATGGGACCAGTACAGGCGGCGTTGGTTGATTACGTGGCAAATGGTGGTGGAGGAGGTTATGAGAGGATCATCGGAGCGGTTCTGGTGGAGAAAGAAGATGCGGTGGTGCGGCAAGAGCACACGGCGAGGTTGTTGTTAGAGACTATATCGCCGAAATGCGAATTCAAAGTGTTTCATTGCTATGGAGCTTAAAGAAATAAAGGAATTAAAAAAAAAAAAAGGAATAAAATGTTTAAATTCATATAATTGTTGAAATTGATGTGATTCTCTCAATGATTTTTAAAAAATGCTGATGACACAAAGAGAATAAGAAAAGTTTTTATTTTTACTTTAATGTGGATAATAATTTAATACGATTATTATGTTGATGGAGTATTGTCACAAAAACAAATTTGTGTTGGTTATAAAGTTTGTTCCTTCATTTTGATTTTTTTAATATCCTATTTGAAATTTTAATTCCGTCTTATGTGAACTAGATCAAATCTGCCAACTTTTATAAAAGTGACAAAGTCTCAAATCGAATTAATGGTACTTTTTTTTTACATGTCAAGTTATGATGGTTCTTTATGTTCGCAAAAAGGCAAAAATAATCCTTTACACATTGAATTTGTTGATATAAAGTTTCAAAATACGAAGTATGAGAAAGGAGAGAATATAAGATGGTCCACATGCAACTCCTAATATGAGTGGTGAACAATGAATTAGATTAGTTTCAGATGAAATACTTTTTTTATATACAAAAAGATAAGAGCATATTTTAGTAGGAACCTTAATAACCTCTCAATTTTCTACTTATCTTCAACTTTTAGCATTACAACATAAATGCTAATCGTGGGTTGACTTCTCTAGTTCAATTCAAAATTTCTAAAAAGTGTGTGTTCAAGAATCAAATATATTGATAATTATATGATTAGCATAATTTTTTTATCATGTACATGTAGAGGCCTTTGCTAACTATGAAAGCAGGGAATATATACTATATAGAAGTGTGAAAGTATAAATCACATTTGGAAACAAGTGATAATAGGATCATCTAGCCGTTATAAAGATTCGGGATCTTCTCAAATTATATAAATAACACTAAATCAGTCTTGTAGGCATGTGTATAGAATACCTCTCCTTGTAAATCTTATTGAAGTGCGAATGAGAATTCTTATATTTTAACAAGATGGTCTACAAGAAATTCCTATAATCATATTACGAGTGATAAATAATGAATTGAATTTACCAACTCTATATGTAGATTGTTTTTGGTAAACAATTTGGTCTCTTAAGGTAGAGTTTTAAGGAAAATGGATGTGTTTGCTTAAAAAGCCGAGAAAAAACATTGTGAAAACAAGAACGTTGACATCTTTGTTGTCTCTGCAAACACTACACGTCGCTGTTGACTTGTCATATATATTGATGCCTTTACAGTTTACAGTACACACGTCTTTGTTGTCTCTTCAAACACTACACGTCAATTGTTTTGTTTTACGTTTTAGGTAAAAGACATCAAAAGTGTCATTTCATGTTACAACAACTTGTGTGTAACAAATCATCATCCAATCTTCATTGGACAGAGTATTGAGTCACTTTGCATTTTTATTTCCGATGTGACAAGCTCAGAGATAACGCTGATGGTGTTTTGTTGTTTCGTCAATTCTCTTATCATCTTTAATGATCAGCAAAGCTTACCTATACCTAAAGACCTATAAATTCAATGTGAACATATATAACTGAAAAAGGCCTAAATACCGATCAAAATACCGGGTACCAAAAACTGAGAGCCAAATAAGTTATCAACTTTAATCACAACAAAATGCTTTTGAATAAATTACCGAAAATAAGAGAGGGGTTGATATCCACACAATTGTCACCACAAAGACTATGATCAAGGGTGTGACGGTCGGAGAGAGATAATTGAGAATAATAGAAGATAAAAGAATTAGGAGAAAAACGAAAAGTGATGAGCAGCGGAAATATTCGTGATTAATTATTTTTTTAAACCGATATATTTCTCTCCAATTTCCTTTTTGCTGTTTCTTAATTTAGGAGAAAAAAACCAACGTAGATACTGAGTTCAACGCTCTTTGAGAGGGATCTCTTCTTTAAAAGAGATGAATTTAATTTGGTGTAGATCCCACCTCTAAGAAACATACTCGGACTTGAACTTCTAGGTATTAAAAAAGGAAAAAAAAAAATACATAAGCTTTTTTTATACAGCCAAACACTAGTGATATTTTCAAATCCTTAACGGATAAATTTTCAAACATTTTAATGATAGTATTTTATATGGGCCTTAAGTGGCCCAACTAACATATGTCAATAAGTCCACAACCAGAAAACACTAGTAGTAACAATTAGTTAATTACCAAAACGTCATCGTTTCACGTCTCTCCGTTATTTCCATTTTTTTCCTCTACTAAACAAGAATCGAAGACTTTTGATTTCGTTTATCTCCGAGGAGAAAAAGAAAGACGCAGACGAAGAAGAAGGTAACAATGGCGTACGTTAGTATGGGTGAAGCTCACCGGCGAATCACTGAATACTTAAACCGTTTCTGCGACGCCGTTTCGTACCAAGACTCTTCTACACTTTGCCGTCTCCTCTCTTTCTCTTCCAATTCTCCACCTCTTCTCTCACTCGCCGACGCACTCAATGTCTTCCAGGTACATAAATTCTCTGTTTTATCAAGACCCATGATTCAAATTAGCAGCTTGGAGTAGTGGCATGGTCCTTGTATTGGTAAAGTTTGTGTCTTTTAGGTTCGATTTCAAATCCAGGATGGTTATGTTCCAATTGGGTACTCGTATGAATTTTTGAATTTAGGGCTCGAAACACTAGGACCATGATCTTTATGTTAGCAAAGTTTGTACCTTTTAGGTTCAATCAATTTCAATCTAGGAGTATGATTTTCCTATTGAGTATGAATTTTTGAATTTAGGGCGTGAAAGTGTCTTTGATTGAGTTGTTGTAGTGAACACTATCTGTCTATGTTTGAGTTTATGAGTTTGGATTTTAGATTTAGGGCTTGCAAATTTTTTTTTTATATGTAGAGAGCTGTGAAGTGCTGAATCCTTTGAATTTTCCTTTCTTTGACTGATACAGGATGCTAGCAGTTTGATTAGACAGTCTGATAAATTCTCTGAATATGGCGAGATTCTGGCTCATTTGTTTCGTTCTCTACAAAGTTACCGAGTTGGGAATCTAGTCGAAGCATACCTTGCTTTCGAGAAGTTTGCCAAGTAAAGTATTCTTGTTCCTCGCTGCTCCTCTATTGATGTCTAATTTGATTTCAGGGTGATAAGCTCTTTTTTTTTTTGTGGTCACAATGTCTGATATTTGTTGGATTCTATATGCGTAGTGCATTTGTTCAGGAGTTTCGTAATTGGGAATCTGCTTGGGCATTGGAAGCTCTGTATGTTGTTTGTTATGAAATTCGAATTCTTGCGGAAAAGGTAGTATCTCATTTGTATATCCCTTTTTGGAAATCGTAGTCTTATTTGGTTTCACTGCGTCAAGGACTCAGTTCTGAAAGCATGATTTTTCAAATGGAATTGCAGGCTGATAAGGAGTTAACTTCTAATGGAAAATCTCCCGAGAAATTAAAAGCAGCTGGATCTCTTCTCATGAAAGTTTTTGGAGTTCTTGCTGTAAGTTGTCCCTTCTATCTATATATCTTCAGGAATATTAGTTTATGTTTGTGTTCAGTTTTTTTTTTGGGCTCCTTATGTAGTTTTCAACTGTAGGGGAAAGGTCCAAAACGAGTCGGAGCATTATATGTGACTTGCCAATTGTTCAAGACCTACTTTAAGGTGATATGCTTTCTGGCAACAGTTTGATATTTATGATTTGACATGATTTAACCGTTATGTGGAGTATTAAACAGGTGTTCCTAATTCTGTATTTCAGCTTGGAACCGTCAATCTTTGTCGAAGTGTAATAAGAAGTATCGAAACTGCTCGGATATTTGACTTTGAGGAGTTTCCAAGAAGAGACAAGGTCTTGTGCAGTTCTCTGCAAACAGTTTTAGTTTTTGGCCTCCTGATTTGGTTACTTATTATCTTCTGTTTCTTCTTCACAAACACCAGGTTACATACATGTATTATACCGGACGATTAGAAGTCTTCAACGAAAATTTTCCAGCTGTGAGTCACTAAGAGATTTTTTCATTCCATCACAGTTCATTTCATAGTGTCAATCGAAATATTGATGGTAACATTTAATCTTTTTTTTTATCTTGCAGGCTGATACAAAGCTATCATATGCCTTGCAATATTGCAACCCCAAAAGAGAACGGAATATAAGGTCTGATTGTGGTTTTTACTCTGTGATTACCTTACTCTTGAATTGCGTTGCTTAATCAGCTTATGTGACTTTTGTGAATCAGGATGATATTGAAGTATTTGATACCCGTGAAACTTTCAATAGGAATTATACCAAAAGATGAGCTCTTGCAAAATTATAATCTGCATGAGGTAACAACTTTCCTTTGTTCTATGAAATTCTCTTCAATTCTCTTCAGAACTTATTTGTCATCTGCGGGTGATATTATATCTCTTCTTAATCCAACTTCTCTACGTGTCCAGTATACAAAGATTGTGCAAGCTCTGAGAAAGGGTGATCTCAGGCTTCTCCGGCATGCTCTTCAAGAACATGAAGATCGGTATGTATTTCTTTCGACATCTTGCTTTTCTCATATACATTCAAATGATAAGGTCCTTGTGGTTACTCTAGTGAATGCACATTGTAATTAGAGTAGGCTGCTTGTAGTGGATTATAGCTGTGTTGACAGCTTAGTAACAACTGGTTAGGTAGAGGAGCTAACAGGTTAAAAGAAAGTTGGGGCAGAAGGAGTTGGGATGTTCTGGATTTGTCTAGGGGTTAGGATTTGCAATTGGGTCGAGAGTCGAGTTGCTTTCGTTAGTTAAGTGACGCAAGTCTCTCTATGATGAATATTTGGATTGTATAACCGAACAACTTAATATCGATCTAATACTCTTTGTACAGGTTCTTGAGGTCGGGTGTATATCTCGTCTTGGAAAAGCTAGAGCTCCAAGTCTACCAGAGACTCATGAAGAAAATGTGAGCAAAGATTAATGTAACACAAGCTATCAATCCATCCAAGATTCTCAGATTACTTTAGTTTCGTAACTCTTATTATCAATGTTTCAGTTATATAATCCAGAAGCTGAGTGATCCAGCGAGAGCTCACCAGCTGAAGCTTGAAGTGATTGCCAAAGCACTAAGATGGCTAGAAATGGACATGGATCTCGACGAGGTTTCATCTACGTTCCCATCCCATTCATTGCTTTTGATTACTAGCATGAATTCTGTAAACTCACAGTTCTCAATACATTTTGCAGGTGGAATGTATAATGACGATTTTGATATACAAAAACCTTGTGAAAGGTTATTTAGCTCACAAGAGCAAAGTGGTAGTTCTAAGCAAGCAAGATCCATTCCCTAAACTTAACGGGAAGCCGGTTGGCTGATAGATATATTTCACGTGTAAGCCCTGCGAATTGCGGGTTATTTTTGTTGTTGTATCAAGAACCCGAGCTTAAATCTTATTATTTACTTCATGACTAGTGATGATAGTGTGGTCGATTTTATTTTGCACAAGGAGTGGTAGAAAAGTACATAGATATATGAACATTTTGATTCTTTTACCGGCTTGAATTTTCCTTTTTATTTTCTTAATTTCCTTTTTCTTTCAACTTAGGGTTTTAGGTGTTTAAAACACCGTGTTTTAGTATATAAATTAATCAGTGTAACATCTAAACTTTAGATTTTGTTTTTCTCTCGGAAGCCAAAAAAAAAAGTTTTGAGGATGAAGCCAACGAAGATCGTGATTCCGAACCGCCGCAACGAGAAGCTCGTGGGTCTGCTTCACGAAACCGGATCAAAAGACGTTGTGGTCTTATGCCATGGCTTTAGATCGGACAAAACCAACAAGATTCTGAAGAATGTGGCTACAGCTCTAGAGATAGAAAAAATCAGCTCTTTTCGATTCGATTTCTCCGGTAACGGAGATAGTGAAGGAACTTTTTACTATGGTAACTTCAACAGTGAAGCAGAGGATGATCTGCATTACGTTATTCAACACTTGTCCTCTAACATGAACCGTGTAGTTCCTGTGATTCTAGGTCATAGTAAAGGAGGTGATGTTGTTGTTCTTTATGCTTCAAAGTATGGCGATAATATCCGCAATGTCGTCAATATTTCGGGACGTTTTGATCTAAAGAATGGTGTACGTCTTGGAGATGGTTATATGGAAAAGATTAAGGAACAAGGATTCATTGATGCTACAGAGGGGAAATCTTGTTTCCGTGTTACTGAAGAATCTTTAATGGATAGGTTAAACACTGATATGCATGAAGCTTGTCTCAAGATTGATAAAGAATGCAAAGTCTTGACGGTTCATGGTTCGGACGATACTGTGGTACCTGTGGAAGATGCTAAGGAGTTTGCAAAGCTTATACCGAATCATAAGCTGGAGATTGTGGAAGGAGCTAATCATGGTTACACTAAACACCAGAAGGAATTGGTTTCGATAGTTGTGGAGTTTATAAAGACTGCGATTGTCGAAGAACAGCTAGTCAGTTTGTCTTTGGGAAACAATAGTTCTTCATCATCATGATGTTACATTCTACATCATCTGAATTCTGGCTATTGTGCTTTTTTGTTCATTTGATCAACATTTTTCTACTTGTTGTAATCTTCAATATGGAGAATATTATGAGCAGAGTTTTACAATTTGTCTACTCTCATGAACTTGAACATGAATGAATATTTGTCCATTCAATTTATATGAAACTTGTATTTGTTGACTTATTGTGGATTAAATTATTAGGCTTGTGGCTTGTGTTACTGGAGAAGAGAATGCTATTCAAAAATTGACATTTTGTCACAACTGAAATCAATAAACTGATGATGAAAACTTCAAAGTTGTGAAAGAGTATAATTCTTAAAACATGCCATCAAATGATACAATGAAAGAACAGAGAGAGGACAGAACAAAACTATGAGTTTTCAGACAAAGACCTTGTCTTTCAGGCTGGTAGCTCAGACGGAAGCGTGTTCTGAATGTTGTAAGGCATTAAGATGTTGAAACCATCAGCAGCAGTTGAGATGATCATCCCCGGAATCTGGTTGTGCCAGTGAAGTTCCTTCAGATCCTTTTGTCCCTGGTTTTCCCCCAAAAAAAGAAGGTTTTCAGACAAAATAGGCATCAATCAAATAAACCGAGCTAGTGACGTTGAAGTAAAAATGTTACTTGGTGAACGAAGAGAAGCTGAGGAGGCAAGTCTTGAGGTGTGTTGACTAGCTCCTTGGTCTGTGCCTTGAACTCTGCCTCTTCTTCTTCATCCTTCTCTAAGGATAGATCCCATATCCTGTAAATACAACAGATAGCCAAAAACAATTACGACAGAGTTTTGGTTTTTACGGAGAGAATCCGTGTATTGTTTTCTCGCTTACGTGAGCTGGTTATCACCGGAAGTGACTGCAAGTGTCGAAGCTTCATGAGCGCTCCATTCAATTGAAGTGATAGGATGCTTATGGTACTCAAAATGTGCTACCACTGCATCTCCACCCTAGTACAAAATTTATTATGCCATTATATCAGAATTTTGTTCAGAGATTGCTAAGGAAAATATAAAGCTACGGTTTTTAACTTACTTTGATCAGTCTAAGATCACGGATGGAGAATGTCCCGTCATCACTTCCTGAGGCCAACATGCAACTAGCCAGCCTTCATGAAAGAAGAAAAATTAAGACTGAGCCATTCGTGGGCAGCACAAAACCAAACAGAATTAATTTATAGAGCATAGTGGCACCAGAACCTGTTCCATGATATGACATTCACATCTGCGTTATGAGCCTTGAAAGATAGTGCAGGCGACTTCCCAAGTCGGATATCCCAGACTGCAACACTCCCATCCACAGAACATGAAGCAAACACGTTTTCTTCGGCTGGACTCCACTGGAACAAAGAAACAGATTGTTCAGCCAAAAAGAAATGGTACCAGCAAACATATTATTTAGCTGTAATGTGGCAGTTTTACTTGCAAATCTTCAACACTTGCAGTGTGTCCAGCGAACGGAATAGGATCAACAGCCCATGAACCAGAAGCTGGCTCCCACAAGTGAATCATACTCTTGCAGTCCCCTAGCCAGTGGAGGAAAAAAATTAACATTGACTTTGCCAAAAAGCATGTAATTGTTTGAGTATCGCAGAAATTTCTGAGATAACTATACCGGAAAGAAGTCTTCCAGCGGTTGCAGGACTCCAATCTATAGCATAGCCTTCATCTTTGTGGCCCGAAAAGTTTACTAAGGGTGCTTGGTTAAGAACCGGTGAAGTTCCATCTTTACCTTCTGTTTCTGATTCGGCTAAAGCATTAAGATGAGAGCTCATGTCCCAGACCTGTCAAGAAAGACAAAAGCTAATCCACATTAACAAATACACTTACAAAGAAAACACACAAGCTGTGAAAGTAGACAATGATATCTTCATAGTTTTGTTTCATATTGCCAAGTGCTGAACTAATATCCAGTTATGGAAATAACAATGACATTATCTTACCTGTACATGACCAGAATCTGCCCAAGAGACACAGATATGAGAATTTTGTGGCATTGCACGTATACGGTTAACACATCCATGGTGAGCAACCCTGCGAACCTGTATATCAAAATTTTGAGACAAAATATCAACCACGAGGACTCTCTCGACTTCAGAGACAAGAATTATGAATGAATAACACAAGAGTTAAAACGAATCATGAATTACCTGAATATTTGGAGTTTTGGAAGCTTCATCTCCATCATCGTCATCACTGTCACTGTCGTCATCATCATCCTCATCCTCCATATCATCATCACCATTCGCTAATGTCTTAGGCACAACATCACGTCTCTTACCAGATACGTTGGTGATTTTAAATAACCCTATGGAGTTATGAGCTGCTTTCTCAGCCTAAAGAAAAGAGAAAACGTATACACAAGGATTTAACAACTTAAAAACAAGATTCTAAAAGCACAAATACATATGAAGATATAAAAAGTACAAAACATACCTGAGTCCCAGCCACCATATAAAGTGTGTGAGGAAACTCAGTTCGGTTCAAACCCAACTTATCACCTAAAATGTCAAAACTGAAAAAGAGAAATAGAAAGCCATCAAATCACCAAAACTTGCAATGTAATCATTCACAAACAGTAAATTTCTTAATGAATCACATAGTAAGATAAATATACTTGCAAATACATTTGTTTATAAACAAAGAGGAAGCTTCTCATTTTCTCATTTGAATTGTTCCAGAACATGTACAATTATCTCTTATAACCCCTAAAGTCTCACACTTTAAGCTATTATTGTCTAAACTATATGAATCTAATCCATTTCGAACCAAACAAGAACATTGAAATACAAATGAAATTACCTCAAACAAGGCCAACCAACATGAAAGCCATGGAGAGAATTATAAGCAGAAGGGTCACACTGAAGTTCTTCTCCATCTTCAAGGGTATCAACACCTGGTTGCCAAACCCTAGTTGGTATCGATGGTATCTCGGAAGAAGACGCCTCTGCCTTCTTCTGTTCATTCAAAAAAAACAATCCAATTCATGTGATTAGGTTTTGCTTTGAGAACATCAGATTGGAGAATTGAAACAAGAGCAAGTTGGGATTCAAAAAGTTCAAACCTTGTTCTTCCTCTTTGCCTTGGTTTTCACGGTGCGGCCCATTTTGCTCTTTCTGTTTTTCTAAATTACTCAAAAGTGTTCAACTTTGTGAAGAGGACGATGATCAATTTAGGATTCTTCAGTTTCTCTAGGGTTTAAGCTATTTATACCCTCTTTCTCAGAAACACCCTTCTGTTTATTAAATTTATATTGAAGTCCTTTATCTTATAAGAAATAGAAACATTACCCCCAAAGTTTTATAAGATCACCACTCTCAACCTCAAGAAATCACATTTAAACTGTTCTATAAACTATTCGTTGATTAAAGTCAACAATCAGAGTGGTAAAACTAAAAAGCCAACAATGGTAATTTCGTGTACTAACAAAAAACAAGTACACTAGTTTCTGTTTTGTTTCTACTTGGAGAAGAATTTGTCCCAATCACGAAGCGAAGAATCAACGGAATCATCAGGGAGAAGTTTGGGAATCCTCTCGGCGCGAATGAACTGTTTCAGAATAGCTTTCTCTTCATCAATTTGTTTCTTTTCTTTTCTGTCTTTTGGTTCTATCTTCCTTTTCTCTTCCAATATCCACTTGAAAAGCTCCTTTTGCTCATCTTCTGGAATTGGTTTCCTTGCTACCTTTACATGTTCAGTTGCCACAGTCTGAAACATCGACTGATCAGCTGCATCTGTAAATTCAAACAGCGGATCCAGTTCAAGGATCGGTTTGGTTTCTTCCTTCTCCGGCATTGCAGTTTCTGCTTCCTTAGCCTTATCAGTCTCTGCAACTCTGCTGATTTCTGCACCTTTCTTGTCGACCTCTGTGTTAACAGCACCCTTTTTCACACCTTTATTTCTGGCCTCGCTGCCCTTTTTAACTTTCTTCTTCTCGTCCGCATCAATATCCTTTTCTCGTTTTATGGCAAATATATAAGCTGCAGAAACAAGGGATTAAAATCAGCAAACATTGAAGTGGTCTATCATGAATACTATTATATCATAAGAAATCAAGCATGCTTTTCCCAATTCTGATTCAGACCAAGCTTGTAGTTCTGCCAGCTAAAATCGAGATGGGTTTAGTGAGAGTATGCTATACAAACCTAGTTTAGGGAGTAATGCTGAAACATTTCAAAAGAATTGAGTACAAGATAATATGATGTGCAATCATGTCCATGAACCAGAAAATTTACAAGAACCTGTGTGGATCCTCTATACAACGCAACTGCTTAGCCAAGATATATACACACACACACACAAAGAGATATAGATAGTTTCTAAATACTGCATTTGCTTAAATCAATGTCTTTCCGTATCGCGGAAAACATCAACAATGACTGGGATGCAAGTCCAAGAAAATGTCCGCTCAATGAGCATGCTCTAATATCTGATAATAGAATGGAGAATCAAACACTCTCAGAGTAATGCCATGGAATAATCAGCTTTCTTGGAGAATCAAAGCAAGGACAACAACGGTTCAAGTGATAAATTGTAGCATAATTCTGACGATTGCTAGAAGAATTCGATTCGTTTCTTGAAACATTAATAAAAGAAAAGGAAAGAACTTTCTCAGCTAGGCATTACATCAAACACATTACGGACGTAAAACTAAAAACCCACTAAGAAAGTAATGAACTTTCTAACCTGCAAAACCAAGATTGAAGATCATCGTAGCTCGCCATCCGACTTTTTGCAGTTTAGAAACGACTTTCTGGGGAGGTTCGGATCCAGAAGGAGATGATTCCATCGATTCCGATGGAGATTTCGCGACTTATAGAGTTTCTCGAACAATTTAAGTATCGTTGTGAAAAAAAAGAAAATGTAGAAACCCTAATTTGATGAAATCCTCCGTTTCTTCTACTTGTGATTGATTAGCTTCCCTGCCTTATTCCTCAAGCAATAGATTGATTCTCGTTTCTCTCGGAACAAAGTTGTTCGCTTTGATCTTCTCGACTGATCTTGACGGTCTCATGTAGGCTTTTCCGATTGGATTTTGAAAGTCTCTAATTCATCAAGAGACTTCTTGAAGCCTATTAAGCTTGAGGACCATTTACCTTAAAGCCCAAAAAAGTAAAACAATAAGCAAACATTTCATACCCGTATTTACTGTATAGTTTTTATATGGTCTCTAAATAGTGACCAGGTGTCTGTCTTTGATTCTGAAAATTTCTTCAAAATCCTACGAAATAAATCAGTGTCGGGATTACATTTGAAAATCACCAAGTCCTATTGCTAAACGTGACTAACAGTTTTTTTCTATTGCAAACATAATTTAAGATGTGAGGAATCAAAAACCCAGCTTCCAAATTTTGCGATGCTTATTCTTTATTTTGTTTTAAAATGACCCTTCTGGTTGGTCTCATCTAGTTTCAGAGAAGGAATCATTAGGTTCAGGCCAAGTATTCAAAACTTAAACCAAACACACATAAAGTTGTTCCGATTGATTAACATCTCAGTTGAACAAAACAGCACCTAAGAGTCTGATAAAAAGGATCAGGAACCAAAACCATGTACCCCTAAATGATTTGGAAAGGTCCTAAAAGCTACCACCAAATATCTCAAAAGACAAACCAGCCTTACAAAAACCGCTAAACCCCGCATTAGTTTACCATAGTCGATAGATAGATAGACAATGGTTTTTCTTTACTCTTAAGGCTTGGAGGCACAAGTCAAAACATGCGACTTGAACTTCTCCAATTCTGCCACGACTTCTTCTTCTGGTCTGTAAATCAAGTCACTCATCCGCCATATCTGCCATAGAAGAAAGTATAAAAAACATTTTCCGTTTTATCGATAAAATTGCTTACTGAGGTACCCAGAAAGTATTTTGAAGGTTACCTGCAATGTTCCACCTCCACCAGTAGTCTCACAGTCATCAGAAACACTGACAATAGTCCAAGGGTCTGAAGCATTCCAGTGGAAATCAACAACTTTGTCCCTAAGAAGGTTTATAAACATGGGAACTTAGAAGCAAGTAAAATGAGAAAGCAATCAAGAGAATTAGAATCAAGTTTTTAAGAACCTGTGACCAGCATGCTGGAAGAAGAGCCCAGCAGGGCTTTTAGCTGCACGATCAGACTTCTTACTGACCTGGTGGATAATTAAACAAACCAAACATGAGTACAATAAATATGTTTCAATGATGATAGTGAAGAAAGCTTAATTTCAGATATATCTGAGTGAATTATGTACACACCCTGTCATAATCCCAGATGTTCAAGAGACCATCTTCTGCAGAGCTCCCAAAGACGGATGACTTATCAGGAGACCACTGAATTGGTTAACAAGATAGTATCAGTGGGTTAAGAGATATACATAATACGAAGAAGGATAAAAATATAGCAGTTGTTTACACCTGAACACAAAGAACAGCAGCTTTGTGGCCCTCAAATTTGTAAATAGGTGACCCGACTCCATTAGCGGTAAGCTTCCTACGATCAAACAACCGGACAGTGTTGTCTGCTGACCTGAAACAGTCATCAATATCTAATGAGTACATGTACGCATATGCTAAACGTTTTCTTAATTAGATACTAATTGTGCATTAATCATCTGTTTGTATGTATTTCTCCATACCCTGTCAGGATCAGATTGTCGTCATGGGGATTCCAATCGACACAATGAAGATCAGCATCATGCGCCTTTTCAACCTGGAAAACAAAAAAGCAAGATAAAATATAAAAGAAGGTCAATCATCAAACTTTTAATAGGATTAAGAAGATAGGGTACCTTAGTGACAGGGTTTGTGCCAGTTCTTGCATCCCATAGTATAAGGCAAGAATCATCACCAACACTGCAGAATTCTTGTGCACTTCGTGACATAAAAGTTCACCAGAAGCATCATTAGAAAAAGCATGAAAATATCTGCCATTTGCATAAAGAAACATGAGATCAATAGGAGTTGTCTGTTCTAAGAAGTTACCTCGTCGGGCTGAATGCCACATCTTCAACTGTATCTTCATGGCCATGATATACACCTCGTGGGCCAACAGTAGGACTCTCATTCTTATCACTACCTTCACCAGTCTGTTTGATGATAGATCCAGAAGATTTGGAATCTGTCCCAACCGTTGTGATGTGATCTTGGATACTCCACAAAACAACTGACTTGTCCTTACCTAAGAGAAGAACCTTTGTATGAGAAACTGGCAAACCACAGGATTGGACTCTACAAATCACAGAAATACAAACCTCCAGAGAGCACAAAGGGTTCGGTTGGGCACATTGCAAGAGCAAATTCAGCATTATCTTGGTGCCCAGTTAGTATCTGCAAGAAAAATGGTTCGTTCAGATGATGCAAACAATAGGCACTATTTAAGAAGATATCAAAGAGATATGTCACTTCCAATGATGAGAAACAAACAAGAATGAAGCGCAAGCAATGATTTGCAACACCATTCTCAGAAGTGGACATACCAAATCTGGACGGGAATTTGCAGCTCCAAGCACAGCATGACGGTTTGGTTGGGTTTCAACATCCCATATGAGAACCTGGAATCATCATATTGTATTCAGATAACTGAAACCGGTAATACGTCAAAAACAAAGGATGCTCTTTGACTATCAAATAAAGAGATATGAAACCGGCATATTTCAAGTTGCTATGACCATAACAATAGAAGAAGCAGCACTTACATCAGGACTGTCAGTGTGAGTAGCAACAATCTTACTATTCTGTGGAAGTTCCCTGATTCTGTTAACCTGCAATTGCAAATTAGTAATGAATAACATCAAAATTTACTTTCACCAAAGTACCAAACGAGTAACTTCATGGACCAATGAAAAAGCGGTGCAGATACAATTAACAAACCAAATAGAATTAGAAACAACAATGTAAATACAGAAAAATCTCAAGAGTGCAGAATTCACACCTCTCCAGGGTGAATGATGGTCTTGTACTTCTTCACAAATGGAGAACGTGCTTCTTCATTGAACTGAAAACACATTTGCAGAAGATAGTAGAAAAGTGTCACAACAGGAAATCCATTGTAGTGGGGAGTATGATAAGCAAAAGGTACAAGATAAGTATAAACCACAAAATACCTGAGAAATGTGCTCTGCTGCAGCGACCCTTGGCTTAACAACTTCACAATTTGCTATGACCAAAGTATTGGGCACACTTCCATCAGTCTGGTGACACAACCAAGAAAAATACAAACAGTATGATGAGAAATATACAAAATTCTGAAAACATGAGACAACTTTCTGAAATGTTACTGTAAGCAAGATACACAAGAGAAAGCGAAAAACCTACTTGCTCTGAGAGATACAGACGCTGGCGATTCTTGTAGGTTGCTTGCTCAAGCTGCGGACCCCATCTGTTAAATATCAAACAACAATTCACCAAATGAATTCTCTTAGCACAACAACTAAAGACTTCATCAGATAATAAACACAGCTAAACATCAGAGCAATTGAAACACCAAAGCCTTGTTGACCCTTTGTGTTGGTTAAGGCTTACCAATGACCACTATAAAAACAAATTCGAGAGGATAGTGTAAAATTCATGAATAGAACATCAGATATACCAAGGCATGAAGACAGAGCCACCATCCAAACCCTAACTATAACATTCAACAAAATCTCACTTAAAACCCAGAAATCGGAAAATGTCTATCTCTCAGCATTTCCATGAATGAAGCGGAAATGTAACTCAATCCAAACATCAGAATGTTCAAAACATCAGCAAGATAACCCAAGAACACAAATTAAGCGGAAGATGCGATTTAAAACCGAAACCCTAGAAGAGAAAAGAGGAAAGACCTGCAAGAGAGAGAAGGCCAGACGAGGTTATGGTTAGCGAGCCAGTCGTAGAGAATGGGGACGAGACCTTTCCACTGAGAGTACTTCTCGTCAACACTCGGCGTCTGCTGCGTTTTCTTCCCACTTTCTTTCATTTTGCCACCGCTCTGTTGCTGCGACGACGGCGTCTGAGAATCGTCCTTGCTTTTAGGTTTCCGACCTCTTTTCTTCGGCCCAGAAGCTCCGGTTCCTCCGCTCGGCGTCGTTGCTTGAGGAGACACTGCTGCTGCTTCGTCGCTCTCCATTTTCCTCCTCTCTCTTTTTTTTTTCTTCTTTCGTTGGATTTTTTTTTCGGTCTTTGCTTTCAGTGTCTCTATATCTCTCTGCTGCTTTTTACAAATACAAACAAAACAACCACCGTTTCTCCATAATTGTCTTTTAAAAAGTAATTTGCAAAGATTTCAAGGCTTTTAGCACATTGAGCAATAAAACTACAATACGTTCTAGGATTTTATGACTAAGCCCATTTCTATAAACCTAGACCTATGTTTGTTTTGTGCATCTAAATCTAAAAACCTTATTTCGTTTGTTCTTCGCTGTCTAAACCTAAAATCTACCTTTCGTTTGTTCTTTGTCGCCTAAATTTAAAGTTGTCTTTCCAACGTATCTTTCTCTTCAATGGATTTGATGCATGTCAGTTAATTACATGCGGGACTTGAAGATCGTTATGATATTTGGGGTTCTGATCACTCCGAACAAAAGGTTATTTCTCGATTATCATGAATTTGGTGGTCTGATGGCTATGGGTAATCTATCCGCAAAACAAACTTTAGAATATGTTCGTTCAATAGTTTATATCTGTTAAAATTTGATTATGATTATCGTTAAAACTTAAAAGTTACATAGAAATAGTATCATTTTAAAAGTTCGCCTCAAATTAAATAGTCTAACCTCCGTGCATAAAACAAACAAAAAAATTTTATTGAACAACAAACTGAATAGAGTTGCGAACTAGTTATTATTATCACTATAAAAATCACAAGTACTGTATAATGAAATTAGTAAGTCTATTGAATTTGTTATCCAAAAAATAAAGTTTTGAATTTTTGATACACAAAGCTTTTCATGGTAGTAAGAGACAGGCATATAAGCGTTTGAGATATGTGTAACGAAAGCCCAATTTTAATCAAATATCAAATATCATGAGTCAAAAGTGTTCAATGGCTCAAGATGATAAAATAAACTAAACATTGTTTGATCAAGAGACAGACATATAAGCGTTTGACACCAAGCCTAACTGCATATCTTACGGATTTGAGATTAAATTCCTTTAGGATGAACCCAGATACCAAACACGAAACACAATGTCGAAAAAGGAAGCCAAATCAAAACCTAGAAAGAACAAACTTTACCAAATCCTCTTCTTTTTTCTCGTCCTTCTTCCTGGGATCCTTAGACGAAACCTTCAATGTAGATTCATCTAGCTTCGAACCGCCTCCTGAGGATAGATTCGAAGAGCTCTGTGCCTCTTTTAACTTTTTTTCCATTTGAGTTACAAAACAATGAAACCTTAGGATCGATTCGAAGATTTGAAGAAGAAGGAGAAACGAGATTTGTCGTTGACGATTGTAATTACTTGAAGAAATGGAAAGAAACCCTAAAATGGGTAGAGCGACTAACCTTATCCAGTGTATCAAATTCGTCCGGGCCTCGTCTGAAGCCCATTAACAAATTATCCATATTTGTAATGGACCTTTAATGAGAAGGTCTGCAGCAGGGAAGCCGGCCCGTTGGGAAAGCCTAAATTTTAAATCTTTCGCTGGAGTAGATCGGCTCTCGAGTAGATCGGTGCAAGGTTAGCCACCGGTCATCGGTTTGAAGAGGAAAATGAAAAGTATTCTGATGTAGATCTGCTCAAACAATTTATCGGATCTGAGGCCCTCGTAAATTGTAGGAGTTTCAACAGCCAACAGCTACGAGAAAGAAATTAACAATGATGATACACATAAACTGAATGGATGGAGGAGGATAGATGAGAGAAAATATAAGTTCTTTGGAAAAAGAAAAAGTCTAAAAGATAAGAAATTTAACAAGAGGAGGCGGCTTGTACAAAGAAGAATAAGGGGTTAAGAGGTGCGATCTATATTTGGATCTCACGCGCTTTGCCCAGTACTTATCTTTTTTTTATTAGTATTATTTATGATTAAAGATTACGCCAACAACAACTTTGCTTATAAAGAGGAGATAAATAGTAAACTCCCCTTAATTACAGATTTTTTTTTTTGGTAGGATATTTTAGTTACAGATTAAACCAGTAGCTTGTGGAAGCCCCCTTGGCCCATTGGTTGATCAAGAGACAGGCATATAAGCGTTTGAGATATGTGTAATGCAAGCCCAATTTTAATCAAATATCAAATATCATGAGTCAGTAAAAGTGTTCAATGGCTCAAGATGATAAAATAAACTAAACATAATCTCTACAAATTAAAGCACTTTTCAAAAGGCAACTAAGGACATCTCCAAAGGGAGGTTCTCTTCAAAAAATTGATGAGTGCTCATGTGTAAATGCCAAAAAAATAAATCAAAATTCATAAAACAAGAGAGAATCGATTCTCTGAAGAGAGTTTTGAGAATTTGTGAGAGGCGGACACGTGTCACAATGCGATTGGAGGGTATGTAATATAAAGAAGAAAAAAAAAAACACTCCTTTGGTTTATTTTTTCTCTCGACAAAAAATAAACACAGACTCTCTCTCGCGAAGGCGATCAAACAAGGTGATGAGTCGACGCCGATTTCGTGGGTTTCCGATGAGTTGATGTGTATATGTAGGTTGCCAAGGTATGTGGCAATCCAATTTCAGTTTTTGCTAAACGTTTGATATGTGGATGCTGTCATGACCATCCCAAAGGGAACACTTTTCCCAATGTGTGGTATGAACTTGGCTTTCGACCGTGATTTGATTGGCCCAGCTATGTACTTTGGTCTCATGGGTGATGGTCAGCCTATTGGTCGCTACGACGACATGTGGGCTGGTTGGTGCATCAAGGTAATTTCTTCTTATTCTTATTCCCTTTTAAGATTCATGATTGTGTGGAACAATTGAAAATTACGGATATGAATAGCATAGCTAAATATGAAGCACATGCTCTGTTCTTAGTTGTTTGGGATTGAATCTTTTATAGGTGATCTGTGACCACTTGAGCTTGGGAGTGAAGACATGGATTGAAGCTTGGGATGAGCTTAACCCACCAGCAGCCAATGGCAAAGCTTGAGCAGTAATGAGCCAAAACGAAAAAACCACCACAGTTTTGGTTATTTTAGCTCAAATTATCTTTAGTTTTAAATTTCGGATTTTACAAACCTTTCTTGTTTTTACACATTTGAATAGTCGTATTTTATGAGCTTTTTTCTTTGGTTCATTAATAAAAAAGCCTTTCATAGGTGTTTGCAATTAGTATTTTTTTCCATTAATCATCCATTATCATAGGTATGTTTTGGCTTTAAATTGTATAAGGAACCGTTTGTAGACCAAAAAAAGTTGAATTGCTTCTGAGAGAGCTTTGTAGACCAAAAATAGTAGAAGATGAACGAGATGAGTTATGAGTACACTCAGTTTGATGTTTTGGAATTCACACAAGTTGAATCAACCGAACTTCTCAAGTTGATTTAGCGTATTATACAGAGATGTCTACAAATTTCGGAATTGTGATGGGCATTCTAAATCGAGTTCTTGATTGTGATATGCGTCAACAATTGCAAGCTGATTTTGTTGAGCATACATGTATATGGCAAAAATTTCGCAACAATCAACAGTACTACTAATCGTTATTCCGATTTTGTTTTTGCACATCTTTTTAAAAATATTTGAAATAATGTATGTTTAATATTTTTTTGAATTGCAATAATTATTAAATTTTATGAAAGAATATTTTTAATAATTTTTTTTATCCTAAGAGGACCCCACTAGAGAACCTACCATTGGACACAGAAAAATTAAAAAAAAAAACAAAAGTTCTCATCTAACATTTTCTCAAAATTTATAATAAAACATTTGAGAGAGCTCATGGAAAGAGCTCCCCCATTGAAGATGCTCTAAGAGCACCTCCAATGGGAGGTTTTAGTGTAAAAATTTTGGGGTTCTCTTGATTAAAGAGAATAAAAATAAATCAAAAAGCCTAATTATGAAGAGAATCGATTCTCTTAAGAGAGTTTTGGGAACCAGAGAGAGACGCTGACGTGTCATGTTGTAATTGGCTGATTAATTTTAACAAGAGAAAAAAAAAAAGAAGCGTGTGTTCATTTTTTTTTCTTCGTGAAGTCTCAACCGCGTCTCCTGCAACCTCTTCTTCTCTCTCTGTTTGGTTTGACCGGAGTTTATGGTGGAAGTACGATCAAGATCACGGCGAACGAAGGTATGCAGATCTCTATCTTCTCCTTTGCTTTTCTGCTCGAATAGATTGGTTAAATTAGGGTTTTATTTGGGGATAACGATCATGTGAAATGTTGCAGAGCAATTGGGTCTAGCAATTGGTTTCTATACTCTGTTGTGATTGAATCTGAATCTGTTCTAGCAGAATTTGATCCAAGTAGCTCTGGAGTTACCAATCCTCGTGTTGATATTGATGGCACTGTGATATGTAACTCTATGCTCTTAATTTCTGTTCCTGGAATCGTTATAGCCTTGTGTGTTATGTTATAGGCATGGAACATAGGAATGTGGTGCTTTTGTTTTTGTAGGAATTGTTAGCTTTTGACTATTTAGAGTCACAATCTTCAGATTTGGTTAAGATTTCGCTTAAACAAAACTCAGAGTCAAAATCTTTTTTTGATGATGTTGTTGGAAGGTTTTTGGTTCTTGTTGATTGAAATTGTTAGATTTGGTTTATGTTTTCGAATCGTAGGATCAAACCGATCAATAGCTTTGATGATTGAAATCGATTCTTGCTCTCGTTTTTGTTTGATCTTTAGCAATTGTAGCATTGTTTATGTGATTTTTATGAATTAGAAACTTTGAATCAAGAACAAAGCATGTTCTTTACGTATATGTTTATTGAGCATGGTGTGTGCTAGGATGATTTTGGTTGATGTTTGTTTGCTAAACTGTTTGCAGATCCTTCAATTCATATTGTAGTTGACTAAACCTTATTTTGTGTTTTAGTTTCCAGAGTAGCTTTGTCTGAAAGTTTTGCTTATTTGTTATGAGTAACAGAAAATGTTGCAAAGGACCTTGAACTATTTGCTCATCATGCTGGACGCAAAGTTGTGAACATGGACGGTGTTGTTCTTTCCGGTAGAAACTGTTTCTCTCTTACACGTTCATGTTAGTGTTTTGTTCTGAATCTCATATCTGTTTTCTGAAATTTGCAGCTCATAGAAACGATAACTATAGTGTTTATGAATAAATTTTTTTTTTCTAAGAACCCATTTGAGAGATACTACCATTGGACTATGATTTTTTTTAAAAAAAAAACACAAGCTCTCTTCTTATAAATTTCTATTAAACAATGTGAGAGAGCTTATAGAAGGCTCTCACCATTGGAGATGCTCTAGAACAAGTACTTTTAAAATTATTAATCATTTTACAACTTTTGCTTTAGTATATGTACAACATGTCTCTCTAGGTTTCAAAGTTTCATTTATGATCATGAGATCATCTAATTAAATCACAAAATTTATCAATAAGAACCAATATAAGTTATTAGCTATGCTCAACTATAGATTTTAAATATTCATCTTAGATATGATTTCACACTAAATAATAATTATTTGATATATAAATAATATATGTTACAATGTAGCATTAATTTAACGGAGATTGACACAAATAGCCCCAAAAAATTTGTTTTTTCCAAAAATAGCACCTCATTTGAAAAGTTCCACAAATAGCACCATAAACTTCAATTAAACTTAATGAAAATATAATATAGAAAATAAAAAAGAGAGCAAACACTAATCTAATATTAAATTGAATCAAAATTGTTTTAAATAGTGGAAATATATACCCTAATTTGGAAATAGGGAACCCAAATATAATACCACAAACTAATATTAAAATAAAAATCTCTTTTAAATGGTGAAAATATATACCCTAAATTGGAAATAGGGAACCCAAATATAATACCATAAACTAATATTAAAATGAATCAAAATCTCTTTTAAATGGTAGAAATATATACCCTAAATTGGAAATAGAGAACCCAAATATAATATTTTAAATTTATTTCTAATTTATTTTGTTGAATAGCTTTTATATAAAAGTTGTGGTATTATTGAAAAAAAAAAGCTAGTGATAAAATTTTAGAACAAAAACACTAATAGTAAGTTAACTAGTGCTATTTTTGGAAGTTTATGGAGTGTGTGCTATTATTGTCAATAAAACTTGTTTTAGGGCCATTTTTAGGAATTTCTCTTAATTTAAAGATGAAGCTCGGTTTTTTCCTTCTCTTCCTTAATCTTCCTCGAGTTCATGGAGGTAGGCTTTGTGTAACATAATCTTCCACATGATCTTTTGCATCACACCGAATCCACCACTTATAGGATCTAAGATCTTTTGTCCAAGCATTACCTTCCATGATTATGGAAGTTGCTAGCATTTGTTTTTTTTGTTCTTCGGGAGCATGCCTCATCATCTTAATGATATTTGGTGTGCCAAACAATTCGTTATAGCACTTTCATTTTGGCTTTGCCTAAAATTAAATAAACTAATATCAAGTAAAAAGTTTAGCAGAAGAGAATAGTAAGCAAAAAAAGTAAGAATAAAAAAATGTACAATTTATATGGAAAATATTTCGCATATTCGCAGTTTTTGGGACAATTTTTGTTTCTGGTGATACATACGGAGTAAGGACGATGGTTCCCTAGAGGTTCCATTACAATTTGTTCTTTTAGAAATAAAAATATATTGATTAAGTAATTTAAAGATGAATGAAAATTTATAGATAATATTTGCAAAATGCAGTCAAAGAAATGTATCAGGGATCCAAATATGAAGATGTACTTCAAAACTCAATAAATTAATTCAATTTTTTTTTCTGTTTTGGAAATAAATTGAGATTACATTTGACTTTAAAAATTTAATGTTATAGATATCCTAATTTTTGATATATATGGACAGATAGACTAACCATCCAATCGTTGAAATCAAACTATTTCTAATCAATAAGTAATTAGACAAAAAAAATTGATAACATCTATTCCTATTTAATAATAATAAAAAATCTTTTAGTTACATCAGATTCTTCATCTTATCATGGTTTTAATTGTTTGATCTTGAACTTCACAATATTCTTAGAAGGCATTAAAGTCTTTTAACCCAAATTCATAAATCGCCGAAGGGTGGATGAGGAATGTGAGATTTTTGTAGATATAATGAGGAATGTCAACCATTTACCTATCATGACTTTAGCAACATCATAAATGTGATTATCGGTGCTATTTCTAATTACCAAGATATCCCAACTTTGTTCCAGAACAAAAATATTTATAGTGGTTACTCATATTTGGTGTCCATAAAATAACTCAATTACTATAGTGTTCTACTATAGGGTTTGGTTGGTTTCTTTGATTCTCAAAATCTCTCAAGGCATTTAGAGACATGCTAAGACTCAATAATAGCAAGGGTCTCAAGATTTTAAAATGCACAAGAGAAAAGAAGATGGTGGAGGAGAATGGAGATGGTAGTGGTGTTTTGGTGGAGGATAAGATGAACTTATAGAGATGAGAGAGCTAGCTAGCAAGAGTAAGGTTACAAAAAGATGGCGAGAAACTGTGAACACGAGCAGATTACGCTCTTTTCTTAACCTATAATCTTTGCTAAATGTACTTAATCAATACAATAATAACAATAAGGATCTCTCCAGATCCGACACCTCAGCGTTTTTGGATGTTCTCAAGCTGACACCTCATTAAAATTGTCATCCAATGAGAACATTTCGATTAATACAACTAAGCATTCTATTCCATTAATAATACTTCTCTGATCCACGTCATACTCTTTCTCTCCACATATTATTTTCTTAGTTTTTCCTATTGGCCCAATTTGGTTTAGTTACCAAGCCCAATTCGTTTATTTTTTTTTGACGTGTTCAATTGTTTTTCCTCTCATTTATGTTTAATCACTCACTCACTAATATTATGCATATTATTATATTTTGTTGAACAAAATCACATCGCTAAAAGATAGGTTTTTCTATTTTCTTTGCTTTAATTATGAATTTGTGATTATATGTATTTAATTTAAATAATTAAATCTTTATATTTTGTTGGGAGCTTTTAATCTTTTAATTTTAATAAAAATTGTTTATTTATATTAAATACTATTAGTTATTTTTACTTTTGTCTAACAGAGTCAAAGACGAGACAACAATGAAAATGTTACTTACACGAAGGTCTAACAAAAGCTTACACAAATCTACAATTGAGAAAGATGATTGGAGAAGCTTTGGAAATAATGAGAGGAGGTTAAGGGGAAGAAGAAGACCACAACTATTACTTTAATATAAAAATATAATAAATCTTGAACCGGTGACTGAATCGATTGTAGTCAGACCGGTGTTACTATCGGATCAGATTGGGTCTATAAAATACTCCCAAATTGACATTGAATTAATCGTACAAAGAAAAATGCATGGTTGATAATAATCATATTGATCCCATCTAATTCTAGAATCAAATTATTTTATAGTTAAAAAATTGTTTATAGTGTTCAATGTTCTATGTCCTTTGTTTCACGTATTGGACATAGCTAATCTTGCAACCTTTTCGTAAATTTGTCTTTGGAGCTACAACTACTGCAACAAGGGAAGAAGAATTTTAGCTAAAAAAATAAGGGAAGAATATCCTATATCATTCTGGTTAAAATTTTAAACCAGTAATCTAAGATGAACTTCCCACAATACATTTATAATTTTTTTCTTTGGTATCTATATAATTTTTAGTAGCTAATTATTGTGATCTAATGATTAAAAAAGTTTTTTTTCTAAAAAAAAAAAGACATGTTAAATATTTATAGTATGATTCAAAATTTCAAAGTATGCTTGTGTACCATAAATATCGTTAACATAAATAATTTAAGGTTCTTAAAGTATAAAAATAAATCTAACATTAGTTAAACATATACTAAAATATAAAATAAAAACAAACGTATACTAAAATATAAAATAAAAACAAACAAATATAAAATTAAGACAGAATTAATTTACGAAAACTATCCGCAACGTAAACATTTGATGCATTCATCTCATGAATATTGTCCTCTAAAAACCATTTGATTCAAACAACTTTTTGGGAAAAAAAAATATATCTAAAAGAGCCCCGCAGCGTAGCGGGTGTCGACCTAGTCAAGCTAAAATATGTAAACACGATAAATAAAAAAAATATAAATTTTACCTAATAATCCTCCTAAATCTCATAATAGGAGGCTACTCTAAAATTTACAGAATTTTCGAAAAGTTGACAAAACAATAAGATTTCATTTTCCCGTAAATCTTATAAAAAAGACATTAAAATTTCATAAGAAAGTTGACAAAACAATAAGATTTCATTTTTTCTGTTTTAGGAATAATTTTAAATTTCATTTTGACTTCAGTATTCAATATATTTATTTGGTATAATTATATATGGTAATCTTCCGCAATTATATATGGTAATCTTCCGCAAGTTGATAGGGTGTCCAGAAGTAACAAAACTAATATTTATATTTAATAGCGATATCTAATTCTTTCGTTATAATTCCCTTCTTCAAAATCAAATCAGAGAGAGAGAGAACGAAAAAAAAAGAATGGCTAATCTTCGTCTAATAATCACTCTAATCACAGTTTTGATTTGTTTATTCTCAAGCTTCACCAAATCATCAAACGTTATTAAAATTGATTTACCTAAATCCCTTAACCTCACCGTCTCCACCGATCCTTCCATCATCTCCGCCGCCTCTCATGACTTCGGAAACATAACCACCGTGACCCCCGGCGGCGTTATCTGCCCTTCCTCCTCCGCTGATATATCTCGTCTCCTCCACTACGCGGCAAACGGAAAAAGTACATTCCAAGTAGCGGCTCGCGGCCAAGGCCACTCCTTAAACGGCCAAGCCTCGGTCTCCGGCGGAGTAATCGTCAACATGACATGTCTCACTAACGTGGTGGTTTCAAAAGATAAGAAGTATGCTGACGTGGCGGCTGGGACGTTATGGGTGGATGTGTTTAAGAAGACGGCGGAGGAAGGGGTGTCGCCGGTTTCTTGGACGGATTATTTGCATATAACCGTCGGAGGAACGTTGTCGAATGGTGGAATCGGTGGTCAAGTGTTTCGAAACGGTCCTCTTATTAGTAACGTCCTTGAATTGGACGTTATTACTGGTACGCATCTTCTATAAACTTTGATGCAATAGAAAAAAATACTATTTCTTTAGTATTTTTTGGTATCATATGTTTAATGTTTTATAGTTGTGCTTAACTTTTTGCACCACACGCAATGGAATCTTCGAAATACAAAATGCGTAACGCATCTATATGTTTTTTTTGTACATATTAAATATTGTTCATGGAACTTTTGTGGTATCTCCTAAGAAATAAAGTAATAATATACACACATTTATTGTCGTACATATATAAATATAATTAATTAAAGACTAATTTATCTCTTTATACAATTGGTAGCGTGTTAATTTGGGATTTTCGTAATGTACATGCATGACGCATGCATATAGCTAGAGCTTTTCGGTTTTCTTAGATTTTGTGCTATTTTACATTTTAAATTTTTAATCGTGTTGTATATTTCTAAAATAGCAAAATTTCAGAATTTTTCTTTAAACTTACACTTTTTTATTATGGATTTTGAATATTTAATTTCAGGGAAAGGTGAAGTGTTGACATGCTCGCGACAGCTAAATCCAGAATTGTTCTATGGAGTTTTAGGAGGTTTAGGTCAATTTGGAATTATAACGAGAGCCAGAATTGTTTTGGACCATGCACCTAAAAGGGTACGTATCATTACATCTTACCATTTATCTGAATAGAACCGAACCGGGAAGGATAATGTCTGACTAAAACATTTATGATATTACATGCACTAAGAGAGTTAGAGACGTATGGATCACAAATCATGAAGCTTTCTTAGATGGTATCTTAAAACTTAAATTAGGTAGGAGTTTGAAATTTAGGTCAAAGACTTTAATTGCATCAATTTGAACAAAATCTATGCATTGAATAAAAAAAGATATGGCTTATTTTATTTAAGTATAGTTTATAATCCTAGGACTGGTTCTAGTTGTCCAATCTTGTCTTATGCGTGCAAATCTTTTTGATGTCAATATATAATCCTTGTTTATTAGAGTCAAGCTCCTTCATTAGTCAAATATACTCCAAAGTTTGGAATATAGTCTTTTGACTAATTAGAATCTTACAACCGATAAACACTATAATAGGTTATCATTTTTAAAATAATGTAAGGTCGCTAATAAAACAGATTTGGTCATATTATATGATGACGTTCTGTTTTATTTTCAACTATTCATTACGTAAACTTATATCTTTAACCCCTAAAATTCGAAAATAGTTTATTTTCTTATTTTAACACCTCTTATTCAATTTCCATTGCATTACATATTTTACTTTATATGTGAAAATAATATGGTTTCTTTATATGTTTATAAATTAAATTAAGGGAATTGTTTTTTCTCAAATGAAATTGTGTAGGCCAAATGGTTTCGGATGCTCTACAGTGACTTCACAACTTTTACGAAGGACCAAGAACGTTTGATATCAATGGTCAATGATATTGGAGTTGACTATTTAGAAGGTCAAATATTTCTATCGAACGGCGTCGTAGATACCTCTTTTTTCCCACCGTCCGACCAATCTAAAGTCGCTGATTTAGTGAAGGAGCACGGTGTCATCTATGTTCTCGAAGTAGCCAAGTATTATGATGATCCCAATCTTCCCATCATTAGCAAGGTACTACACATTTACATAACATATTCATCATCGTTTTGATCATACCATAAGATATTTAAATGATCATCATTGCACCACATTAAGATATTCATCATCATCGTCGTCATAATCTACAATATGTCACTTAAACTGTTGTGTAGGTTATTGACACATTAACGAAAAGCTTAAGTTACTTGCCCGGGTTCATATCAATGCATGATGTGTCCTACTTCGATTTCTTGAACCGTGTACAAGTCGAAGAAAATAAACTCAGATCTTTGGGGTTATGGGAAGTTCCTCATCCATGGCTTAACCTCTACGTCCCTAAATCTCGGATTCTTGATTTTCATGACGGTGTTATCAAAGACATTCTTCTTAAGCAAAAAACAGCTTCGGGACTCGCTCTCCTCTATCCCACAAACCGGAATAAGTACATACTTCTCTCTATTCATATTTATATTAATTCAAGAACAAGTAAATAAATTTTGATGAAATGGTTTTTGTTGTTATTGTTAGATGGGACTATCGTATGTCCGCGATGATACCAGAGATCGATGAAGATGTTATCTATATAATCGGACTGCTACAATCCGCTACGCCACAGAATTTGCCAGAAATGGAGAGCGTTAACGAGGAGATAATTAGGTTTTGCAAGGATTCAGGTATTAAGATTAAGCAATATCTAATGCATTACACTAGAAAAGAAGATTGGATTGAGCATTTTGGATCAAAATGGGATGATTTTTCGAAGAGGAAAGATCTATTTGATCCCAAGAAACTGTTATCTCCAGGACAAGACATCTTTTGATTAACTTAAATCTTAATAGATTATACATGCTAATTACTTGTAGTCTCAGAGACTGCTTAATAAAGGATGGTTTTTTTTCTTATGACCTTTTTTCCTGAACACAACAATACTGTAGTTTACTATCATATATATATTTGAGTCGAAATAAATTTGATCAATAAGATTTAATTGAAAAATATTCTGCTTTTAGTTAACATTAAATTTCCCCATAAAAACTACAAAATTTTCTCATCCACAGCAACGATTATATGTAAATGTGATTGAACTTGCACATAAATTACAAGAGGAGAGGGAAACCGAATCCAAACCAGATTAAACCGAAAACTCTAAACCAAAGGAAGAATATTATACTAAGCCGGAGGTCTCTAATCATGCTGCTTCAACAACCACTGCAGCAGCACCAACAACAAGAGCTGGTGATTCATCATCTGTGTTGTCAGGTGAAACCACAACTCTCAGAGAATCTTCTTCCTCAGATTCAGATTCAGTTTCCTTATCTGCATTTTCATCGGCGATGAGCTTGTCTTGCAGCTTCTTCATGAGCTCTTCTTGATCAGATTCGTTCTGTTTTAGGAATCTCTTTAAAGCCTCTTTTCCATGGTAGTTTTTACCGTTGAGATTGTAGAATGTTCCATTTTTCGCAATGAACTTGTGCTTTATGCTCAGGTCGATTATCTCCGTGATCTTGCAGATTCCTTTGCCGAATTCAAGCTCAAACTGTGCAGTTCTAAATGGCGGAGCGAGTTTGTTCTTCACTATCTTCACGGAGACTTGACTTCCAGTTGTCTGCACAAGCATACAATCTCAGGTTTCAAACACAAGAAAATGCAGTTTGTAGACAACATTTAGTTATTCTAAGGAGCCAACAGAAAAGCTAAGTGATCAGTTAAACACACATCACGAACATAAGACAGGTCGTAAGATAAGAGCTTGGAACCCAAAATGTGTAAGCGGGTTTCGGAAGTTTACCTCTTCACCTTTCTTGATAAGTCCAATTCGCTTGATATTCAAACGCATAGAAGCATAAAACTTCAGAGCATTTCCACCACACGTAACTTCTGTTGGACCTCCAAATCCTCCAAACGTCGATAGTTTTGATCTCACCTGAATATAAAACATTGGGAAGTAAAGATACATTCGAATAAGAGACTTTACACTTCGAATACTGGAACTTTTCAACAAATCTCAGCTACTAACGTTCTCTTACCTGATTTATAAAGATCAGAAGTGTTTGAGATAACGATAAAGAATGGCTCAATTTACGCAAAGCTTGGCTCATCAATCTGGCTTGCATAGCCATATGGGCATCACCCATCTCTCCCTCGAGTTCTCCTTTAGGTACAAGAGCAGCCACCTGTAAAACAAAATCACATGAAACCATGAGAGACCGAAATATAGATCCCAAAGGAAAAGCATCAACCCATTATCCATCCCATATAAATCACCTTACTTACACTGTCAACTACAATAACATCAACTGAACCACTTCGGATTAAAGTGTCCACAAGACTAAGGGCCTGTTCGCCACAATCAGGCTGCGATAGAAGGAGATTTTCTGTATTTACACCGATTGCCTTAGCAAGTGACGAATCAAGAGCATGCTCAGCATCTACAAAGACACAGGTTCCTGTATGCAAAGAACTTCTTTAGGATTCTACATCTTTTTAAATACAATATGGCTCTGTAAAGAACATAGCCGAAGAAGAGTTAAAGAAACAAGTAATAACCTCCTTGTTTTTGTGCTTCTGCAATAACATGAAGAGCAAGTGTTGTCTTTCCCGATGCTTCAGGACCATATATCTCCACAACACGCCCCTATGGAATTCACAATGGGGTCACCAATATTATTGGACTTGTCAAAGAGAATACATAGACTTATACATAAACCTCAATTAACAAAGCTAAACATCGCAATAGAACCAACCTAAAAAACACTAAACACACACAATTTGGGGAAAGAATAATATCACCAAGAGAGATATCTATACCTTAGGAAGGCCACCGACTCCCAATGCTACATCGAGGGCAAAAGATCCAGTAGAGAAAACCGGTACATTTCTAGGAGAAACAGCACGACCGAGATACATTATCGACCCTTTGCCAAATGAACTGGTAATCTGATCAAGTGCTTGCTGAAGAGCAATCTCCTTTTTCGACATACCTTCTTCAGATGATCCATTTCCATCAGACTTAGATTTCTTTTTAGCTTCAAATGAAAAACAATTGCAGAGTTAATGGCAAAAACCTCAACTTTAATAGCCACAATGAGCTAAGCAATCAGAAATGAAAGTAATCTGTGGAAATACATAAATTCATCAAAATCAAAAACCAATTCGAGTAAAATCGATTCATAGACACAAAGGTAAAAGCTTTAAACAACCTTTGGCAGCAAAGCCTCGGAGCTGAAACGATGTTCCAACCACACTTTTTCTAAGTACCTGAAAAACCCCATGAAACCAACCCTTGTGAATAAAAATTACCCAGAAAAACATTAAGAGAATGAATTCAAATAAAGGGACAACATTTGGGTTTATTCTTATGAATATTAAACAAACCCAAATAAGCAATGACAACGACAGTAACAGAGTTTTTTAATTTCTCGTAATACCCAAATGAGAGACAAGATAAATATACCTCTGACGAGAACAGAGAGCTTTTCAGTGAAGAAAGGTTTCGGAGAATCCTCGCCATAGAAAGCACTAAAAAGCTTCTTCTCCACTTTTTAAACCACAGCTACAGAAACAAACCTAAAATTGGAAAATTCCAACTACCCAGAAGTCAGACTTGTATGAATTGAGTAAGAACTAAGAAGAGAGACACAGAGAAAAAAATGGGAAAAAAAGGAAGAGTTTTTAGGGTTTTAGGTTTTTGCTTCCCTCCTTTTTAACCATTTTTTTTGGGTTTTCTTTTGATCGGTCTTTTACAAGTCGGCATGTTTTTGACTTGTGTCTTTCCCAGAGAAGCTCAAGCCGAAGTCTAAACCGGCTCATTGATGGGTTAAATTAGATTGATTGGTTTTAATAAATTCACGGTTTGGTATTGTTGGTTTATAAATTTCGATCAATTTTAAGAAAACTAATTTGATTAAATATGCGCCATAGTTTCACAAACTATCTCATTATCGAGAAAATAAATAAAATTGGATTCGAAATCTGACCAGAACCACATTAAGTTTTTTCAAATTCATAAGAACATTACAAATGAAAAATCAAGAGACACAAACCAAACCAAACCAAAGAACCAATTTTTTTCAAGCAAACCAACCACCCAAAACTGATATATAATAAACCGGACCATGACTCTGCAAATTAAGAAACACAACCTCGGCCCAAAGACCTCATCACTCTTCTTCTTTCTTCTCATAGATAAGCCAAGATTCTTCAGTTCTTCACTGCTGCTTGCATTCCGGTGGCCTCTCACCTGCTTGACCTTCCGCAGGTTGGCTTCTTCCAGCCTTCTGTTCATAACAAAAGGAGACCTCATGTTAGCCATTGCATTATCAACATTAAAAAGGTCAAGATTGATTGATTGTTAAACCTTGTGCCCAGCCGATGACTGCAACAAAACAAAAGAGAAACCATCAAATCAGATTCAGAGGGTTTAATATTTATGTTGGAAACTTTAACTTTAAGTAAACCAAACCCACATAGTTTACCTTCTTTTTGCTCTTCTTTCCTTGATCTGCTTCTTCCTCCTCGTCATCATCCTCATCATCATCCTCCTCGTCATCCTCATCATCTTCCTCGTCCTCTTCATCATCATCTTCATCAATCTCATCATCGTCCTCCTCAATATCAAGGTCATCTGCCTCAACAGCTTCACCAGTGAACCATGACACAGCATGCGAGATGATTTTCTCTTTAATTGTTGACCTGCAGGATAAACAGTGTGGGCAGATTCAGATCCTAGAACTGAATTAAGCAAAGAGAACTGAAGATGAAATAGAAAGTTACAAACCCAATATCATAGTCGTGCTCCATTTGGCCTTGGAGTTCATCAGCCTGTGAAGATTAGATAATCAGATTAACATCAAACACAATCTTAAGTACTGACTCGAAAAACTAAACTGTTCTGGAGATGGACATACCATGTCATCATCAAGATCCTCATCATCGTCAGGAACTTGAGGTGGACTGAAAAAGTTGAAGAAACTCTCACAGTCCTCAGTCTTAGTGATTGGCTTTGTGTTTTTGGATCCTTTCTTTGGCTTCTTTTTTAGAATCTTCTGAGTCAAACACTTTCCAGGATACCACTCAATCTCCGTCCTGAACAACAGTTAACAATCAATATAGACTTATTGTCTTCAGAAACATAAACAGCAAACACTTGATCAAACAAAAGATTACCCAAGGGCCTTCTCAAGGATAGGCTCATCTTCATCAATCATGTGATATGTCTTGGTCAAGACAGTGTTCTTGAAGTAAGGGTTCTGATCAAAGAAAAACTCAAGCTTGAACCCTTTTGGTTCTTCAACCCTACTCCACTTGATATCTTTAAGATACTTGAGAGCCCCTTCATCTCGCTCAGTTATCTAAGACCATGGAAAAAACACATAAGGATAAAGAGAATCGCCTTTTCATAAACCAAGAAAAAGAGTATTCTAAGGACGAACCTCCTCAGCAGTAATTTCATTGTTCTTCAATGCAATAAGCCAGAAATCTGGCACTCCTTTCTCTGCAGAAAAAACAGTTTCATATCATTTAGAAAAAATGAGTTCATCATCATCATCATCAATAGAAACTAATAAAGTAAACATGTTTCAGTGTAAAAGTTGATAAACACACCTTCTGCTTTGTCTTCTCCTTGTTCAGATTTAACATCTTCCCCTGCACCTTCAACTTCTACCACACCGTTCACAATCTCATATCGCTGTATATCATTAGTGAGTTAGAAAAGGGGAAAACCATCATGAATGATACAGAAAGATCTAAAGACCATACAACAATAAGTATTCAAGCAAGTAGCAACAAAGAGAAGTCTTATTAAAACAAAGTCATTTGAGATGTCATGTGTTTCAAAGTTTTTCTAATAATAGGAAACTAAAGACCATAAGAAGCTCACAGAATCAAAGACCGTATTCAAACCTTGGTATATAAAGGCTGATATAACTTTTGATATTTAGCTTCCAGAGCTGCCCTCTCCTCGAAGAATTTTGCTTCCATTTCATCATATTGGTTCTGCAAACGTTTAAATACAAAAGGAATCAGATGAATTTGCTCTACCAAAACTCATCAGACCTCAACAGACAACTAATTCAAAACCAAAAGATCACAAATTGAAAGACTAGTTCCATAATCATCTAAAAGCTGAAAATTTACTCACCTGAATCTCTCTTAGAACCTCCACACGCTTCCTGACTGTTGGAGTCAAGTTTTCAAGGACATCAGAGTGTTGTCCAGCCAAATTCTGCAACTTGTTCTGCAGCAAACACACAAATCAAATCAGGAAAAAAATACAATCGCTATTAGAAGTCACAAAATTTCAAACAACCAAATTGAGACAATCGTCAAAACCAAAGAACAAGAGAAGAAGAAACCACAAGAATCAAATCAATTCTCAAAAATACTCAGAAAGAGAAAACAATCCCTAAAAGTTACATAGATAAAAACCCAATCTCCAGATAATCATACCCAAATCCATATCGTGAAGAAAACAAACTCACCTTGAGAGCATTAACAAGCCCGGCACGATTCTCCTCGTTAAGAGCTATAAGCAAAACACAAAAAAAAGAGAAGCTTTTTCAATAAATCAAGAAAAGAAAAGAGAATCAAGGCCTCGTTTCAGAGTATGATGAGATAGAATAATTTACCGGCGTTGAGATCGGACATGTTGATGTTGTCCTTGTCGTTGCTCATCTTCGCAAGAAAAGAATCTGGCGGAGGAAGAGGAAGGATAAGAAACCTTAAAACCCTAGATTTTTGGGGACTAATAAAGAGAAAAAGAAATATATTTATATATAAATAAAAGGGCTTTGAGAAAATGACCGCACCGAAATAACTGGACACTTTTTTATAAGACAGACCTTAGCGAAAATAACATACAGTATGTTTTAAGATAAAAATTGCCATGATTTATTTTTATTTTTTTAAACATCTACGAGCATTTCTATTGGTTAGAAGAAACTCACGAGTCTTTTGATAATAAAAATAATAATATTTTTAGTATTATTTAATTATTTAACTAAAATTTTATTTATTACATAAGTTAACCCAATAGATAAATATATAAAAGTATCTCGTGAGTTTCTCAAATCAAAAACGAATCTACTGTCTTTCTTCCATTTTTTAATATTTTATTATTTTAATAAAAATATACTTTCTATGTTTCAAAATATATGATGTTTTAATTAAAATCACAAAATTTAAGAAAATTGTTTTTCTTTTTAAAATTATCATGTAATATTTAATTTTTTAAAAATCAACCAATTACAAAAGACACTGCAGAATATAAATAGTCAAAAATGTTAATTACATTTAATATGTGCATTGATAGTTGTAAAACTTCTTATATTTTAAAACAAAAAAAATCCCTAAAACATCTTATAATTTGAAACAGAATGAGTATATATAAGTGAGAGACTCCTTTTGAAAATGTTCTAAACGAGCTTTAATTAAACTGTGAAGGGATAATACAAACATTCAGTTAACCAAGAGGAAGGTACAAAGAAACTTTGAAACAAAAAATCAATTGATCGAGCCTTGCAGGTCAAGACATCTGCTTCTGCATTTCTCTCTCGAGTAACATGATTCAGAGAACATAACAGAAGTTTGGACATCCAATGTCGAATATCATACATGAAAGTACCCATTATTGATCAGGTTAACAAGCTCCGTATTATCACCTTCGAACCAAACATGACGTTAACATTTTGCCCAAACTTGTTGGAGAACATGTAAGAAACCAAAAGCTTCGACTTGGAGAGAAGAAGTAGACGAGTTGAGTTTCACACATCCTGAAGAAGTACTTGACCTTTATCATCATGTGAACTCATCTTCTAGTGCCTCTTTTTATGACTATTTCATAATTTCTTATATAAACTTCTTCAGGGGCGAAGGCAACGTTCAAGAAGGGGGTCAACTGACCCCATGAAATTTTATTTTTGTTTAATAATATGATAAGTTTCCTAAGATAATTAGATGTTTTGGTTTAAAGTATTCACAATGACTCCTATGTCATGTGATCAATTATTGTCTTTGACCCCATGTATATTTATTTTGTCACTTAAACTTAATACCCTTTCTATTTTTGTTTGGCTAAAAATCTATAAAATCTTTTTTATAATAAAAGATTCGTAATATTCATTTACATATTAATTTTTTCTTCTTTTTAGACATATCCTATTTTTTCACCTACACTCTTTTCAAAAAAAAAAATATATTTTTTTGTGAAGGTTATGAATTAAGATAAACACAACAAACTAATCAAAGCACACTATAGTAAGCAAAGCTGATGGAAAACATGGAATGGGATGGCTGCTTTGTTAGTTTAGGGAAAAATGCTTATTTGGTCCTACGGATTTCAACTGAAGCACTAAAAAGTCGTAATTTATGTATATAGAGCATTATATTATCGTCAAATTCTATTTCAGTTCTCAAAGCTCAAAATTTGTTCTAGGTGAATACATAGAGGAGGGGTAAAAGATGTTTTGATACCATTCGAATTTTCCCTGGTAAGCCAATCAAAGGATACAAAGTAAGTACACGTAACATAACCACAAAAGCATTTACATGATCTAACATAGCCAATCAAAGGAGTATTTGTTACTGTTTAAGCTCATTAATTAGTCATTTTGGTTAATCATGTCTGGCATTAGCTAGCATCAACTATAAAATGCATCCAAGAAGGAGAATCATGTTTTTCTCCAAGTGACAGAATTTTATGAGTGTGAAAATGTGCTCTGCTATATACAAGACCCACATATGTTTAAGAAGTAATGGACTCGTGCTGCTATATCAACTTTTTAAGCTGTCTCGAACATAGATAATAACATTTTGAGGACAGATTTCTTAACCTTCAAAATATACATATACGAATTTGTAACATATGATTTGTGAACTTTAAATTTTTTTATGGAATTTAGGAACATGTAAAACTAAAAAGAAAAGAACCTTATAAAATTTCAAAGAAATATCTTATTTTTATTTTATTTTTCCCAGAATGAAAATATATATTTAATAAAATGAGAAAAGAGAAGAAGGAAATGAAAAAGACCAAAAGCAAACAGGCTAAGCGACACACACACACGCGCAGCTTTTCTTCTTCTTCTTCTTCATCATCATCTTGCTTAACCAAAACTCCATGGACGAATCTCCCTAATTTCCTCACCTACTCACTTCCAATTTCAACAACTACTCGATTCTTCCCCTCTTCTTCTCAAAACCCTAGTTTTTATCATCGCACTTCACTCTCCTCCGCATGAGAAATCGGGAATTTCGCTCGACGTAGTAGATCATAAAACCACAAAGTTAGGGTTTTTCCAATTGGGTATGGAACCTCGTGTCGGGAATAAGTTCCGGCTTGGCCGCAAAATTGGAAGCGGCTCATTCGGAGAGATTTACCTTGGTTCGTTCCTCTCCTCTCTCTCTCTCTCTATACAAATGTCAATTACTTTTGCAAATTAGATTATGATCAAAGATGAGACTCTTGTGATTTCAGGAACTGATGTTCAGACTAACGAAGAAGTTGCTATTAAACTTGTGAGTGTTTCATCATCTCTTCAAATTGAAGTCAAAGTCTCAATCTTGGATCATGAAAAGTTGAGTTTTTTTTTGTGTGTGTGCAGGAAAGTGTGAAGACTGCGCATCCGCAATTGTCGTATGAGTCGAGGATATATAGAGTTCTTCAGGGTGGAAGTATGCAATGAAATGTTTCTCAATTTTATCTCTGTTTTTATTGAATTCTCATTGGTTATTCATTTCTTGTGTATGTTTGTTTATGTAGCTGGGATTCCAAATATGAAATGGTATGGTGTTGAGGGGGACTACAATGTCTTAGTGATGGATTTGCTTGGTCCAAGCCTTGAAGATTTGTTTAGTTATTGCAAGAGGCAGTTTAGCTTGAAGACTGTTCTTATGCTTGCTGATCAAATGGTAATGCTTTTGGATGATGCATTGTCATTGTTAATGCAACTCTCTCACCAACTTGTTTACTAACTCCTTGTGTCAGATAAATCGTCTCGAGTTCATTCATTCTAAGTCGTATCTTCATCGTGATATAAAGCCGGATAATTTTCTCATGGGTTTAGGGAGGCGGGCAAATCAGGTTATCTTAATTTATAAACTCTCAGTTGGAATTGTTTTTGCTTTGATTTTGGGGTCTCACTATTGTATGACTTATATTTGTTCGCTTTCTCTAGGTCTACATCATAGACTATGGCTTGGCTAAGAAATATAGAGACGGCTCAACTCATCGACATATCCCATACAGGTAACAAGGTTTTGGATGTCAGAGATTCTGTATTTTCAGCACATTGGATGTCTGGTTCAGATTTTGCTGACAGCGGGTTCGTTATTGTTTGCATTTACGTGTTAATTATTCAGGGAGAATAAAAGTCTAATTGGGACTCCGAGGTATGCCAGCTTGAACACTCACCTAGGGATCGGTATACTCCATCACTTTCTGTAAACCCTCATGATAATCGCACATCTTTTTCTTCTCTTTCACGGCCTACTTTTTCTTATTTCACTCTTCTGTTGACATTCTTCACTTGGTAGAGCAAAGTCGGAGAGATGATATAGAATCACTTGGTTACATCCTCATGTATTTTCTCAAGGGAAGGTGAGAGTCATTGAGTAACCTTTCTTTCTATCCCGCTTCTTGTTTCCCAATCCATCTCTTATATCGTATTTTCTTGTAGTCTCCCATGGCAGGGACTGAAAGCTGGGAACAAGAAACAGAAATATGATAAGATCAGTGAAAAGAAGGTTTCAACTTCCATCGAAGTAAGTTCTTCTTATATGGTGTACATGTAGAAACTTATACGAGTTCATGTACTAAGAAATTGTTATGAACTAGAGAAGGTTGATTATAGATAGCACTCTAACTTTGCATCAGTGTCTTTGCAGACGTTATGCAGAGGTCATCCAACAGAGTTTGCATCCTACTTCCATTACTGCCGCTCACTAAGGTTTGATGATAAGCCAGACTATGCATATTTGAAGAGACTATTCCGCAACCTTTTTATTCGTGAAGGTCATTCATTTTCTCTCTATCTTCCTCCTCTCAGGCTATTAAGTTCATACAGAAACATCTGTTGACACCAAATGAGTATTTGTTTGTCCCAGGTTTTCAGTTTGATTTCGTGTTTGACTGGACAGTATACAAGTATCAGCAATCACAATCTGGAAACCCTCAACCTCGTCCCCATGTACACTCTTGATACTTTAAAGTTTTTATCCCATTCATGATATATATACATACAATGATGATTAAGGCAAGATCTTTTATGTTTTTATTTTTCAGGATGGTGGTGTTGGAACTAGTTCTGGATTAAACCCTGCGGTCGGCAATTCTGAGAAGCGTCCAGGTATATTTTTGAATGCTTATTATCCTTCTTTAGGAAATGCAGCCACATAGTTTTGTATATACTAAGGGCGTTTTTGTCTGCCATAGATGTCCCAAATCAGAGAACAAATCCGGATTTTACCATGAAGCAGAAAGACAAGAATGTAAATGAATCTGCAATTGCAAAGGATAAGCTGGTAAGTTTCTTGTCATGCTTGTTTTCCTTCTTCTGGGTACCTTTTTGAATCAGGACATTCATTGTGCTTCACTGATTTCTCAGCTACCTGGATCCTTGAACATGGGTCGATCAGAAGGATCATCATCAAGACGAGTTGTGGACACTAGCAGTCGTGAACCATTCAGTGGCGGGAGTGACAATGCAAACTATGAAACCGCACTCAAAGGCATTGATGGCTTACGGATCAATAACAATGCAGGTGATGAGACAGAAGCAACGCCACAATTAAATGGAGACGATGTAGAACCCAAAGCAAAGCTCTCTGATTGATTCATACAAGAAGCTATAAAACAAGACCGGTATTCACTCAGTGACGTTGTCTATGATTCTTCTGAAGAAAGGCTATTGTCTATGACGTTGTCACAGCTAGAGAAATGATATATAAGAGAGAGATATATAGATTTACTACACCAAACCAAAGTGCTTAAACTATGATTCTTCAAATATTCATTTGTCTCCTCCATTGTATAGAGAAACTTTTCGAATTTTAAGATATCCTTCCTCTCTGATAATAAAATCCAACAGGGGATAATAATAATCCAAGTATTAGTTGTTTCATATCTTGAAACTTTTTTCCTTTTTTGTCAACAAAACTTTTTTAAAATTAACTTAATTGGATTTCAAAACTTTAAATCTAATCGATCAAATTTGTTTGACAAAATTAATTACTAAATTTGTATTTTCTTACAGTGAGAAATTTGTTTGTTTTCGGTGTCTCGTTAGCCTTATTACAGTTCATAATTGTTAACCTTATTAGAAGATCCAAAAGAAGCTCAAGACAGAGTTCTTATGAGAAGTCTATTAGTCCATGTAATTAGCTAGATTATCTAAGCAGTAAGCAAGTGTAGTCTCTTATATAAAGTCATGTAATGAAAATAATGAGACTAACCTAGAGAGTTGTCACTTTGAACAACTCTCCTCTTTCCCTTCTTATGAAAGCAAATCTAAAGTGCAATTGTGTTTTTTTTTTGTGACAATCTAAAGATTATCTCCCTTATTGTTACTTGCACAAAATAAAACTTTAATAAGCTATTTCATTTCAATCTTTTTTAGTAAACTCTACAATAGTTAGAATAAGCTTGCTTCGGATTTACTTACAAACCTTTTACGGGTTGTGTTGCTTTTTAGTGGGTCTGAAATAATATTTTTCGTGTGGCGTCAAATTGTCTGTATTCAGTGGTAGGGTTAATCTCTTGAATAAAATTTCTAAGTTGGCGGAAAAAAAATAATGTCAGCATTCGTTTCTAGAAACATGAACACGAAACACTATATCGGTAGGGAGAGATTTTTACGTATTCAAAACCTAGAAATACAACGTAACCTCTTACTATATGTAGGGCTTCATTTTCAAAAGTTTGGCTTTATGATTTTGGCACAACCAACCCCAAACATAACATGTAATTAATTGGATGCAACAAAGAAACAAAGTCACGTATATATATAAGCTGGAAGATGTATGTATACAAAAAAAATATGGAAAGAGAGACTCGTATATAACTTCATTTTATCGCATAAGCAAACCAAAATTCAGTAATCAACAATAAATATATCGTTTATCGCATAAGCGTAGGAACATAGCATAATTCAAAACAACTTTTCATGTGATAGATATTTCAAAATATTTAGAATTTAGCTAAGAATATCTTCGCACACCTACGTTAAAAAAAGTTATAAGTTGCAATCATTTAAAAAAAAAATTGAATAGATTTTAAAATACAAACATTTTTAGGTTTATTTCTTCACTAATCACTATCCTTAACCATAATGTAGAATTGTGGAAGTTTATTTGCTTATTTATATTTTCGTGATTTTGTAGAGTTGTCTGGAAAAAACCCCAAAATTCTAAACTTATTTTGTTGTTATCATTCTTAGTAATACCAAGAGAAACGCTAATATTCAAATTCTAAAGAATATGATTTTTATGTTATTTTGGTCATAAAATTTTAATTAGTATGATCGAAATATATTTTTATTTGTAATGATGTGAGTTTGAAGTATTCTTGAGGAACACAAATAGCCGTAAAATATCGATTAGACGACGTACGTAAGTTGTGTTCTAATCGGTGTTTGACTGCTATTTGTTTTCCTCCACAGTCCATTTCATCAAACTCACCATTCATTGTAAATAAAAACAATATTTTCTAAATCATAAACTTGAGTGATATTTGTTTACAAAAAATTAGCCCCTTCTTATGTATAATACTAATCATTACAAATGAAAATAGTTTCTCAACCACACCAATCGCTACGAATCAAGACGTTATTATAAGATAATTAATCATGTAACGTTAAAACGTTGGATTCACTTAATTAACAAAGTTTCGTTTAAACTATAACTTTTAGACACACAATGAAACAAAACCACTTCATAATTAATAAGCAAATTAATCATCGAAACTGAAAGAAGAGTATCGCAAATTAAAAATGTAATTATTCTTTAACATACCTGAATTAATCGTTTTTACAAGATAATCACATAAAACAAGTTATCTTTTTAGCACGCATAATATGATTCTATGAAACGAAACTACTTCTACAAAACATATAATTCATGGATGTTTTGAATGATAAAGAAATGAATAATCACCGTTTTAAAAATGTGTAAAACATTGTAACTTACTAACTTGTCATTGCTTCCACAAAATCAATTTAGAATACGTCAAAAATTGAATAAGAATCTCACCCATCCTCCTTTAGAGCATATCTATTAATTATTGTTGTTACAAAATCACTACCACAAGCTAAGAACACACACAAAAATGAAAACAAAAAAAATTGAAACTCAATCGAAATCACGAAAGTTTATTAGTATCTTATAAAACAGATTTGAAAAAATTAATTAAGTAATTTGTTGCATTTATCTTTGATCCATTTGAAGCTTTTCCTGAAAGAACCTTTAAGCTTACCTTCAACAGTATAAGCTCTGTAACTAACAACTCTCTTCTTCCTTTGTAAATCTGGATCCACAAATCCCCAAGAAGACGATGAAGATGATCTTCCTTTCTTCGGGTTCGGGTCTTCCGGTATCCGGGTCGGGTAATCTGTGTAGGAAGTACTGTAAGACCTAAGATCTTGCATACCGTTACCACTGAATGAATCTGGACCCTCGGATCTTCGGTGAGCTGAGTACTGTTGAAGGTCTGATGTTCTTCCGTCACCGTACGATCTGGATCTGAAGTCTTCCATTTTGGACTCAGACAGAAGAAGAAGAAGAAGTGATGGTGTTGTGACTTGTGAGGGGGTTTTGTAATAATAAAGTTGACGAATGATTTTTCGTTTTTGTTTTGTTTCTTTCTTTTACGAGAAGGAAAGAATCTTTTGTTTCAATTTATACATTGATACTTCAAATAAATATAATAAATGTATAGTATTTGCAAAATAACCTTACATTTTTTTATTTGTAAGATTATTGTAAGAGGATGGAGTTTTTTTTGTCTGGTAACACATTTTTAAAAAAATTGATAGTAACAAAATTATGTATTTACAATAAAGCGATCGCATTCTTTTGCAAAATTTAGTTATATTACCTAATAATTATTTTTGACTGATTTCTTAAGGAAGAGAACCATACCATGTTAAGTTGATAATCATTTTTGTTGACTTTAATTTCCTTTGATTTTGGAAATTTAAGAATGTATTGATAAGAGAAATGAAATTAACAAAAAAGTGATATAGTTGTTGTTTTGTTTATTTGGAAAAATTTTGTCCAAAAACAAACAAAAAAATTTGGAAACTAAAAAAAAAATTTTAGAGATATAATTTTATTTTGTAGTTATTTTATAATTTCGTATTCTAAGTATTATTTTATATTTTCATCCAAAATTATATATTCTAGATTTCTTCTAGTAACAGAAAAATTTCTTTAAAGTGTATAAAAACAGAAACCATATATACTTCAATTGATTTACATGTCTTTCTTAGATAGAAAATTGAAGTAAAAAATGAATTTCATATTGAATTTAATTGAAATATTAACATGAAATATATAACTGCTAATTTGAATAACAGTAATCTTAAATGTAAATACTACTACCACTTTTTCAAAAAAAAAAAAAATAGTACACTAAATACCATTTTTATAGTCCAAAAAATAAAAAAGAGTCGACAATATTAATAAGAGACTGCCAAGTCAACATGAGGCGCTGAGTCAGAGGCAGCTGTCTCCGAGAGTCGGTGGAGCGTTAAAAATTAAATTACTTCCAACTAAATTTCTTTCTATGTTTGACCAACCTCTCAACGTGATCTTCACGTGGTTCCTCTCGTAACCATTTTTGTTTTCCTTTTAAGGAAAGAAGTAACCGTAAATAACTTTGTTTCTTTATAACTCGACTAAATGTTGATGCACTATGAGTTTCATTAGAATTTCTTGTACAATGAAATATTTTTAATATATTTTATTTTGTGCTAATTGTTATACACTTTGACCTTTAGATAAGGTATCTCTATGAAAGCTAAAATATTGCCCATAAGAGGTTTAAAACAACACAAAGAAAAAGTTGATTATTTCGTTGCCCCTCTTATCAAATACATATATATTAGTCTTTCATATCCCAAGACTTACGTTACATATTTTTCTTGTCGAAATTTGTATTTCAATATTAAATTTCGTTTGAGGAAGTGTTTGGAAAGGTAGAAGAAAGCTAGACTCAACATAATTCGAATGGGAGTCATTATTCTGTTTGTTGCACATTGAAATTTTCTCGTCAATCATGATGTTGGGGCCCCAACACTTATTGCAATTTAGAGTTTTGCCTCCCCTTGGATACATACGATTTAAATAAATACGCGAAAAAACTAAAATAAATGGCCATCCACAAAACGGGACCACCAATAAACTTTATTAGACTTCATACAATCCCCATGCATTTATCACATTTGTCCTTTTTTTTTCTTATTACAAAAAGTTTTTTTTACTCGATTTGGTCCAAACAGTAAAACCTAACAAAACTACTATTTCTTTCCCCTTGTTTCCAAAAAAGCATTTCTTTTTGGTAACAATTATTACAAAACAGTTTTTGATTGAAATTTCTTTACACCATAACAAAATCCAATATCTCGATCTACTTTTCTTGATGGGGTTAAAGACAAGAGCAGACCAAGATCCAGATAACGAGATTCACAAGTCACAACTCAAACGGGTTCGCGTGTCTCTACCAAAATTTTTGCAGATACAACAACTCTAATTTTCTTTTCTTCTTCAATGGTTTTAACACTATTTGTTGTTTTAGCATCAGAACCACCACAGCATCAATGGAGATCCAACGAGGCCATATAGATGTTTGAAGAAAGTCATTTTTGAACAGTTGTTTCATGACATTGATCCTTTGCGGTTCATCAGGTCGTGGTAATAAAGAAGCACACACATCGGTTGTCCAAAAATGCAGAAGATGAACCAGAAGATCATGTTCCCCACCTAATAATGATCCCATTCCAAAACAGATAACCTTTATTATTAAGTTTCAACATTGCGATTTAAATGGCTAGGCTATGAAGAAAGAAAGAGTTATTCGTTCTATTTTCTCGGGTTTTGAGAGCATACCGTTGAGCCAAACCTTTCTTGTAGATAGTTTGTGATAAAGACCAAAGGCACCTACTCAAACACATTGGTTGGTCAGAAAATGAGATTAAAGTGACATATTATTGCAGTGTGTTCGCAAAAATAGACTGCAGAAGTTAGTAAGTTTTTTACCTGAAACATAATCCCAAGAAAAGCCCATAACTTGAAGAGACGACAAGGAACTGCGATGCATAGCTGTCAAAAGGAAATTTGTAAACACAAGATCGTTAAGTAAGAACAGTGCTTTGAATATTAGCATTTCTTTCACTAGCGTGTGTTCATGTGTCTAGAGACAGAGAAATGCAGAAAGTATGTATACCTCATGAAAGACTGCAGAGACTAAGAAAGCAATGATGATGGCGAGCGTCTGGAGAACAAGTGTGTGGAGGGTTAAAGTTATAACAGCACAGAAAGAAACCTCGACAATTGCATATCAGTATATATCTCACTCACCTTTGGTATCTTGCTGCGCAGGCACGGGAAGTATATATGTCGAACCATCCATTTATGAACAGGCTGTCAAGAAAAACACTATCTTAATTAGTTCTCTTCTTCTATTTTGTATAGAAATGAAGGAGATGTTTTCGGAAGAGAACCATACCATATTCCACATTCTCCAGTACTGATAAAGGAAGACAGTGAATACATGAATTTGGTTAGTTAGATGACCCAAAAACAACGACAATATTAAAAATCATAAGTGTTTTTTTTTGAGTAAAACAGCTCACATCTCCCACACTTTTTGCATTCCACCAATCTTTGTAGAATTCACGATCCCCGAAGCAGAGAAGCTCTGCCAATATGTTTAACCTGTGGACAAGAGCAATGCAAAGAGAATTGTGTTCAGAAACTGAAATTACATCACAGACTATCGGAGACTAAAATTGTCAAATTCTTGATGAGAATGTAGCCTTCTTCTGTTGTTCTTCTTTGGAAATTATGTTGAAAGAGAACTGATCGCAGCATACCAAAGGTGGAAGAAGCAGTAGAACATGCAGAGCCACACGTATAAATTTGGAACTGAAAGCTTCAACACTCTTTCAATAGCATATAGAAGATCCCCTTTCAAAGGATGCTTTGAGTTCCTGACAATAGGATTTATATACTGCCAAAATGTAACAAAAGAACATGACGTCAAGTGATGACAACGCAGGGATGATGTTTTTCACCAAGGAAAATATTCAAGCAAGATGTGAAAACGAACTTGTTCTATTATAAATCCCATGAATCCAGTGAATATGACCAGTTTTGCAAATTGACGAGCCACCCAACCCTTCCGTATACATGCAGAACGTGGATAGCTTGGCTGGGGAAAAGCAAAGACCCGAGGTTTAGACAAGAAAATCTTGCAAGTGTAAGAATGGTTGATGCACTTAACAATTACCTGATAACACAATGTGGGAGCGACCATGAAATATCCCAAGCTCTTCAAGCTAACGTAGTAGGAGACTTCAGGATTGGCCTAAAGTTCATAACAGTGTTTGGTTAAAACAGTAAGACAATGCAAGTGACTAATATATATATATATGTTTCTTTTTCGTATTTTACCTTATCAGCTGCATTGGCTAGGGATCTTATGTCATAGCTAGTATGAGCATAAGAAACCAACTTTAGCCACACAATGCAAGTGAGGAGCATCAATGTGACACCTGATAAAAAAGCAGAATCACACCTGTCCATTTTCAAGATCACCGACTCAGCCAACTAAACTTAAAAAGTGTATCACAAACAGAGACCAGAAAAACATCATAGCTTAATTTTTACCTTAGGGTGACGTAAACTGGATACAAAACCTCTGTCATGGTGATAATAATATGAAGAAAGATGACAACCTTCAGCATTTTCAAAACATAACTTGTAAGTTCTTCATGATACAAACTTGTCTTCTATAAGCATTACAGTAATGGCTGGAGAATAGTAAAATTACTCACAGGTTCTGATATGTATTTCTGAAGTACCAATTTCTCAACCGTAAAGGCAGCCAACGGAAAGATCGAAAGGGATATACTGCAACAAGAAGAATTAAAGAAGAAGTTAATCACTAAACTCATCATTAAATGTATAACAATGCTGAAAAAAACATCTTTTACCAACACATGAAAAGCGGCCAATCTCGCAGCGATCTTGAACTAAACCAGAAATCCGTTCTGATCAACCAACCATACTACATGAATGACAGCAACAGCAAAGATAAGGTCTCTGATAAATTTTACAAAAGTTTTCAAGCAATTCAATTCTAAAAGGAGAAAGAAGTAACAAACCTTCATAAGGTTTTCGATGATGAGTCTACTGTTTACAGCAATAAGAACTACTACACAGAGGTTGAATAATCCGGCATGGCTCTGCAATGCAAAAAAACAATCACCAAACTCAATTCCATATGAAACAAAAATCGATCTCTTAAAAGCTGGAGCAAGTTGAGATATGGAATTCAATTTGAAACAATAGCAAACACCAAATTCGAAGATTGTTACCTGTTTGAAGATTGCGTCGGAGCTGAGTGGACTCTCTCTCGCCCTCCGATGAGCAGGAACCGACGGTCGATACGTAAACGTAGCCTCGGCGTTTCCTCTTCCTTCTCCGCCGCCTCTTCCACCACCAGTTTCCCTGATTTCGGTATCTCCAGCCAAATTGGCTGTTCCTTGAGCGTCATCGTTAACAACGGAATCAATCCGATCCCTAACGTCGTCCGGAGGTCCAAGATCATCTGAAGGTGAATTATCGTTAGAATCCGATCTCGATTTCCGTCGACGAAGCCTATCAAGATCCACAAACTCTCCGCCACCGTTCTCCGTCGCCGAACTAACAACGTCTCCAGAATTCAAAATCGCCATTTCGAAAGCGGTTGACGAAACAGCTCCGAAGAACGTCGGAAGAAACGGCGTCAGAGAGAATCGAGAAGCATGCAGAAGAAATTGAAAGAGGAGAAGGTAAAAGAGAATCAGAATCTAAAAAGAGAAATGGAAATTGAAGGACGAAGCTACGAAATCGGTGTGGGAATGGATTCGTCGTGTCTGGTTCTTCCAAAGAAAGAGAAGGCAAAGTTTGAAGAGAAGAAAGAAAAAAGATTCACGAGAGAGGAAGATGACAACAATGGTGACGGAAGATTTTAATTGAAAAGCGGTGTTGCCGATATTTTTTTGTTTTTATTTATTTTTAAAAATATCAATATGATTTATTTTGTAATTTTATTTTTTGCATAAGATCCTCTGGTGAGAATATTCATAACACACATCGCCACGAAAATTCTCCAAATTTTTAAATCTAATATTAATTTCATTTTGGTTTTCAAATTATGTTTTAGTTAATATTTGGTAGTTCTTGATCATTTTTAGAATATTTTTAAGAAGAACTGATATAGTATTTAAGAATATATTTTATTATAAATTTGGAAGAACTATATGTAATATTATTATCATAACCAAATTTAGTGGCTTTTCCAAACCATTTTAAGTTAATTATATATTTGACAAAAACAAATCAACTTCTACTATTTCTAAACCATAATCCTTGTGATTATTAAATTGAAAATTTATTTACATTTAGTTTATACTCAAAGGTATTATTTTTTCAAATGAAAATTGAAAATGAGTTTGATATAAACAATTTTATGTTTGATTTTGTCACACTATAATTTTGCATGGAGCATATTACTCATTGGTTGGTTACATAGAAAAGTATAACTAAAACAATTAAAATCATGAATACATAACTCTACTAAAATGTATATACAATACTAATAGTATGATTTAAAAGAAAAAAGAAAACTCAAAAATTGGTCAAACCCCATGTACAATTATTCATATAGAAAACTTAAAAGCACAGTTCTAACGAATTTAGTTTAATCTTTTCTTTTCATTTTTACTTTAGTTATATAGATATGATGATTATATAATTATATTCTCGAGTTTAATAATTTCCCAGTCATATGCTTATGCAACTAGGATATCTCATAAGAGATCAAATTTTTTTTTCTAAAATATTTTTAAATTTGTGGAAGTTTCCTTAATCTAGTTGTGGAATCGTCCGTAAAATCGCTGATTGCATAAATGATATGTTAGTGGTAAGGATATGAAATGATTTGTTAAGTTGATTGTTTATAATAAACTAAAAATGTTTCTTTTTTTTTGGTGTGCTAAAATAATATAAAAATGTTTCGGAGGACAAAAGAAAAAATCCAAAATTTAAGCATTCCTTGAGCTTTTTCAACCGACATGATTAAATTAGGGAAGTACTTTAGATCCTGATAATGATGAAATTCCAAATATTCTAATAACATACACAAATATACTTTTTGGTATCTAATAATATCTATTTTTCCGGTTTGTAAAGTATAGAAACATAATGGAAATTAATTCTCATCCGACTTGGTTTGATTCATTCTGGGTTTGTTTGTTTGACATTTTTTTAAAAAAAAATCTAGTTTATTTAGAATAATTTTATATATAAAGAATTAAATTATCTTCTAGTTGGTGATTGATTTGGAGTGATAATATATTTTAAACCCATATTATCTTCTATTTCATTCTCACATCGGTTTTTGAATACTGTTTTGATTCAGCTCGAGTTGAGTAATGGGATTGGACTCTCCTACAAAATTATTTTTCATTTGAATGTGTACTCTTACATTTTTAACAATACTAATGCTTAAACAACAGTGACAAATCAAAATGCTAGAGTATCATTTAGAACTAAAATACATATTCCTACATCAATAGCTATATGCAATATCTTCCCTACATAATAATTAGATAAGTCAACCTTCCTATTAAAAATCATGTGAAGATTTGAATGTTACAAAAGGAATATGTAACTTTGAAATAAATAAAAACCAAATCTCAATGGACCGGGAAGAATGGGTCGTGAGCGTGACACTGTTTACTGTCAGTAAAAGCAATGCCATGCATTGGTCTTCAAATCTTTCCTTCTGACTCCTTCGCAAATTTTTAACATATCTTCGTAGGCATTAATTTATAAGTTTCACATATATAAATATTTAAATATCTTCTTACCAAATTCATTTTGCTAGTATTGCACAAGATGATCCTCTCTTTTCAATAATTTTTCTTCTTCAGATTTTCGTAGTTATATGTATTTTAAGAAATAATCAGTTACTGACTTAGTTACATGGTTATGTGTTGTAATTAATTAAATAAATTTTAAGTAGGAAATAGTAAGTGGAATAATTTAGAAGATTTTCACATAAGAAAAGTAGAAAACAAATGACCATGTAGGTTAATTATATATTTAAGCTTAAGCTCATCAATATTTGGGATAAGTTGAGAAACAATCGATTTGCGAAATGGTTAGAAAGCTATTTTTTAAAAATATTTACTGTATTCTGAAGTATATAATCATCTGAAATAAGCGGAAAGACCGTCGTGCCAATCATCCTAAAATATTTAAAAAAAAAGAAGAAAATTACACACAATTTACTAGATTGTGTACATGTTGATAGGAATTATGGTTTGGAGAATATATAATTGTTTCCCTTAAGCTCTCTTTTTTTCTTGTATGAATGTAAAATTTATTCAACAAAAACTTTGGTACATTATATCCATCCTTTATTCGAATGTTTTCTAATATTAAACAAAATAATATGAATAAAATTTAACTTCCTCGCTGCAAGCCAAAGCCGGAGACCGTCGTCAAGCTTTTGTGGATTTAAAAAACGCACTTTGAAAGTTGTTCGGGTTAAATTGATCATATCTTACTTCGAATCATGTGATCAAGAAGCTTGATTAAATGTTCTGCTGACTTGGGGAGCTCACCATGTCTTCGCATGTTCCTCTCTAACCATAGTTAATGGACTATTGCTTGGAAAGCAAGTTTCAAGATGAAGCCAATTGAACCTTTAAATGTCGAGCCCGAGAGAATAGCTAGAATATCTGAGAACTTGAAAGATTGTCATGAAAGTGAGATTGTCATTTTTGTTTGTTCAAGTTATGTGAGGGTTTCTCTAGTTCATGATTTGGTTATATAAAAATTATGATTCACTGTTAACCCTCAAACGTATCAAGTTCCCGAGGTTCTTCATCTTGTTACTTGTTTACTATATATTATTGGATATATAACTCTTCCTCCTACTGTTTAATTTACCCCAACATTTCTCATTTCTATAGTCGTTTTTTTGTATTTTTAGAAAAGAAAATCCTAATTTAAAAAAAATATCTGAAAACTTTATTAGTATTTTTATTTGTTGCAAATTTCATGATGTTAGGTACTAGTAGGAGTTCATAATTTTCAAATGAAAACCCAACACCATTATTTAGTTATTTACTTCCAGAGATTTTTTCAGAAATCTTTAGAATAACTAGGTGAATACCCGCGCTACGTCGCACGTTTAATTCATTTTTTTCTTTATTTCTAAATGTCGGATTAATAAAAACTTTGGTTGAGAAGATTACATACAATGTTTTGATATATATTTGAAATATTTTGGTGTCATTTTATTTGTTTTCCATTTAATTAAATAGTTAACATCTAAATTCTCATGCCAAAAATAAATCAAATCTAAAAACGATATTTATTAACTAGGTAAGATTCAGGTTTGAGCGTTTATGACCAAATGAATATTCTTGATACTTCTGTGCTCAATCATATATTAGAATGGTAGATATAAATCGATAAACTAGAAAATTTTGAGAGCTCACGTCTTAAAACATTTGTTGACCAAAAACGTCAATCACACAAGATACAAAAATTATGCGTCTCGAAGCGTCGATTGTCGTGATTTCTTTCAAAATATAATTTTCATCATTTTAAACAATGAGATATTAGCGATAGAATGTTGATTGAATTATAGAGGTCTCACTTTTTTGACGATGAAACTGAATCCCTTAAAGCGAAGATGAATAAGCAACAAACACGGTGACCAAGAAATCCTCATGACGTGAGTTCTCTATACAAAGCATGAATGCTTTGTTGACTTATTAGTCGAACTTTCAACTTCACACCCTCAGAACTCTATCACACAACACTAATCCTACTTACATGCTTAAAATGGAAATATCTGAAACAATAATTTACACAAGTTGTTTTACTAAATTGTAAAAAATAACATGGTGTGGATGAATTCAAACATGAATGAATAGCGAACATGCCAATTTAAATGTCAAGAACTTTTAATGTCTTTATTACTTTTTGAGGATAATGACAACAACCATACTAAATATTTATTATAATTATAGATCGCGAGAAGGACATAATATTTTTTCTTTTCTTAGAAAACATTCGACAATCACTAAGATAATGTTAGACAAGTCTTTAATAACATTACTTTTCGTCATAAAAAATTGTGGTATTGGCTTCATTGTTGACAAATCATCAGTACACGTAAACATATCTGTCAACGTTCCGCTGACCATAGTGTTTAAGCCGTCATAATCTTTGGCAGCCAAATATTTGAGGGCAGATTCACGATTGTCAAGAGCATTTTCATATAATTCTTTGCATAAGCGATATTGAGTATCGCAGAAGATATATGAATCAATATCCGGTGTGTAGCCTCCTGATAATTTAAATTGTTTCAGCGTATCCGAAATATTTTGAGCCTGATAATTGAGCAAAAATTTGGCAAGACCAGAAAGATCTAATCTAGCAATTTCGGGATTTGCTTTCAGAACCTCAAAACAAAATGAAGAATTGATATCCTCTTTGGTGCATATGGTGTGGATCTCATCTTTTGTAACCATCGTACTAAACATTGCATATGATGGGACAACAAAAAGAAGTAAAACCAATAAACAAGCCGGTGAAATTTTATTATCGACGTATGTCACCATTTTTCTTGTTCTATGTGTGTTTGGAACTTATGTGAGATTTATATAGGCTGAAAAATATCTCCAAAGTTAAATGCTAA